TTGTCACGCTTGCGTTTATTCTCGTCGTGTTTCCGCTTCTTAGATGACGGGGGTTCGGTGTCCGCCGCTTTTCGTTGTGATACAGAGTCGGCATGATCCTCCATTCGTCTGATGTTTGGCCACACAGTGCCAAACAGTTTGCAAAGTCACTCACGCCTGCCGCCTTGTTCACCTTTCTTGTTACTGAGGCGCAGTATACCTGCTTCTTCTTCTTCTTTGGTTTCAGGCAGACTAAACGCTTCTCAGGCATAATACTGCCATCTACTGTTCAGTACCGTCTCAGTTAATCTCTCTCAACTTGCCGTAGTTATTTTTGAGCGTCATGGGAGATCTCGCAATCGCTAGTTTGTTGCCTCTGCGCTTGCCGTAGCGCAAAGATGTCAGCCTCCATGGCTGCGAGACCCGCTCCTATGTAATTATAAATAACGAATTCTAAGGCAACGCAAATATTATGGTTAAAAGGCTGAGCTCATAGGAGATGATAAATAACATAGTTATGTATAATATATTAAATTTCTGACTTTATATGCCTGTAATTATTACACACTGTAGCTTTAAATATTGCAGGATTGGCTTTTCCAACTGTGCCTCAGAATTAATATTTGTGTAAATGGGAAAGTGTTGGCCCTCTTCTTTACCATCTGACCAGCAGTGCCCAGTAGCTGTGGGGTGAGAGGAACATTGTGCTACTCTGAGCTCTGCGCTTATTGCCAACACTAAGGTCAATACACCATTTTCCCAGAGATGTGATGAACAGAACTATCTTCAAATCACAGGAGCTGCATCAGGGAAAATTGTTTTTATTTTGATACTTGAATGTTTAAAAACTTACAAAACGTGGAACATTTCAGAGGTCCTTAAAACTTCCCACTGACATTCTAACAAAGCCAAAAGCTAATGCAGCCATTCCTTCTCTAGTTGCACAAAACCTATGAAAGCATTTTCGTTTGTGTCTCTATGTCCAGGAGCATGATATTAACATGTGGGTAATAATGGTGTGGAAAGAATGAGTGAGTAACGACTAGTCTTGCTTGTGCAAAATTATGTTCTTGTCTAATGGTCTAAGCATCTATCAACCCTCAGGCTTTAATTACTCTGTGAGGATAATGAGTCAAATCCAATCAGTTCCCTCTCTTGCTCTTAATTTGTATGGAGCTTCTATTTTGAAGCCAACCACTTGAAGCTCTCACACCAGCTACCCTGGAGTAACACCAGGCTTCTGTTAGTGTTGTGTGTTTGTGCATGTGACCTTTGCCTCCTGCACACCAACATAGAAATGCAAATTACATTTTAATTGCTGGATTCAATATTCTCACATTAATCTATGTGTGAAATGGTAAATGTCTCTTGCAAATCCTGTGAGTCGGACAGATGAGTCACACTATGACTTCATGAAACTACATTAACTTCTGCTAAGAAAGAGTCTTTGTCATTCAACTATTGAGTCAGACATACAAAGCTAAATGGTCAGGTGTGTCTTGTGTGTAGGTGTGTAGAGTATGGGTGTGTGTGTTTAAAGAGATTCCAAAACCTTAATGGATTCCTGCGGAGTGAAGGACAATCGTTGCCCATGGCCAGTCCAAGCTTATCCTCTGCTCATCTCAGCTCAGAGGCAGCCGAATCTCCAGCTAGGCCTTGGGCCATCTGGCTGCCACTCACCACACACACACAGACACACACACACACACACACACACACCCCCAGACACACCCCCACTGGGAGTTGCATGTGCGTGCGGTTGCTGACAAATAAAAACACTGAATTCCAGATTTCATGCTTGCTTTAGGGAAACACGGTTTTAAAAAAATCCATCGTTAGTCCTACAAGTTGTCAGGAATTGTTTGAATAAATGTAAAGTACACACATGTGAAACACAACATAATACGCAGAAAGCAGGGATTTTCTGATGCCAATAACAGAAAAGTTCTACTGTAGAGGCTGATGACATCACTCTAATGCAAGAATTCAATCATGGATTTGCTCAGACATAGCCAAACATGAATACAGAAAAGATATATATATATATAGATATATATATTCCTGTCAATAATAAAATAGTAGTCATTGAAGTTTCATATTCTTAAAGCCATTTTCTGTATAAGAAAAACTAACACCTATAACACAGCAGTGTATTTTTATGAGGCAACACTAGGAGCAGATGCATACTTAATCGGCAAGATTCTGCCAAGCGCTGTACAATCTGCTCTTATTCCTTTATTTATTTCTGAGTTGGCCCCTTGATAGAGTAGTTACCTAATTAGAGTAGATATGGGTGAGTTACTAGGACCTAGGCTGTGATTCACAGTTTATTATTTATTATTAAATTCAAATAAATCATACAGAATAGCCTTATAGTTGAGCAAAACACAATGGTTAATGAAAGGGTGAATAATGTCTAAAGCAGTGATGATGTTTGTTGAAAATACACATTTATGACATTAACTATCAGCTGTTTTCCTTATCTGGATATTTTATCTTGCAAGAGCAACAAGGATACAAACAGTGATTAATATCACTAACCTTTTCTTTTAGTTCTATTTCTCTTTGTCTGCATGCTGTGGGTCAAGAGTGCCAAAAATACTACAAATGACAATGAATGATGATGCAGTGCATGTCTGCTTGGGGCAAGTAACTGGTGTTCATAGAGTTGGATAAAGTTATGTCAATATACTTAAGAACTGCCAGTTTAATTGTTGGGTAATTATTTTTGAATAGGTATATTGCAAGCTATGAGTCTTTTTTGTTGTTGTTGAAAACTCCTGTATTGCTTCTCTATGCTTAGTAAAAGAAAGTATTGCTAGAAATTTCATAATTAACATCTTAAGTTGGTCTACCATCTGTCTGAACTGTAGTTTGCTTACAGCAGTAAGTTCAGCTTAAACATCTTATTTAAATATTTGCATTCATAGTTTGAAAAGTGGTGCAACTATTGCTTCAACCCTCTCATTCTCTTTATCCAATTGCAATTTACTAATGATTGATTCAGTATGAACTTGTCATACTGTCCAAGAGGTAAACCAAAGGTATGAAAGATTCTAAAAAGTGTGTAATTAGTTTTAGCAAAGGTAAAGAATGATTTTCTGTGTTGCATTGGTGTGCATTTTAACTGGACTCAAAATGAAAACTGCTGGTGGCCCTCTTCATTTCTTCCCTCCTCTTGGCGTATTATATGGTTCTAATTGCTGGCCAGCTGTACACTGTTGTGTATTTACACTGCAGGGTAGTTAAGAGAACAAGGCCACACACTGGCACTACGCATTGTAATCCCACTGTGATACCACAACTCGGTATGCGTGTATACATAGAAGTGTGTGTGTTTGACTGAAACATGCACACCAGTGTGACGGCGTATGTGCTAATTTGCTTGTGTGGGGTTTTTTTGCCTTTCAGTGTGGATGTGTTTGTCTGGCCTCGCCTGCTGTTTGCATCTCCGTGTGCTTTAATTAGTATGCGATTTTTGCATCAAGGCTTTTGTGATTTGGCACTGGCACTCCATGCTGGCGAGGAATAAAAGATCTGAAGTCTTTCTGTGCTAGTCATTCAGCCCTAATGGCTTTAGTTACACAACTGAACTGAAGTCCCTATTGCATAAACAAGTGGCATTTAGAAATATGAGTGAGTCCAATGTGAGTGAGTCATATTGCACAGTTTCATGACTGAAATGACTGACGGTGACATTAACCCAGATGGACACTCGTCCTGAATGGACAGCATATGAAACTTTAGCAGTGTAAGCTCAGTTTCAGGATGGGAAAGCGCTCTGTGTATTTTAGCACTAACTGTAAAGGAAAGAGAAGCTGACTCAGTGCCCTTGTCCGCTGGACCTGTCTTGTGTGTGTTTGTCTTGGGTGGGGGGGTATGGTGTGCAATGAACGACTCAGTTTACTGAGAACTTCCTGCTTATTAAGGTAGAGCTAGTGCTCCTCTGTCTAAATTTGACAATACAGTATGCTCACAGTATGCTCTGCATGTCCAAATCTTTCCTACTGAGATTGGAAAGAAGATTTCAGTGAAAGATGGCTGGTCTTTCAGTGAACAGCAGTGTGGGAAGAATCTTCAATTCGTGCCTAGAGGATCAGGTATTTCAGGTCCATTGAGAGCAGCTTTAATTTCCCAATTATCCATTCCTCTATTTGCCTACACCAGCACTGAAAATGTTGCCACTCCCAGCCAAATGTTCATTTCTATTTTGTTTTTTTTGCAGTGAGCCTGATTATTTGAACAGTTAAATGCACATAGTTATACAGAGATAGAGAGACAACAAGTGACTCTCTCAGCGCCTCTCTGCAGCCCTCTTTCATGCCTCTCATTCTGGCTCACCGATTAACCCTGAGTACCTCACTGTCCCATCTGACCCTTTCTCACTCAGAGCTGCTGCAGTACACTAAAATTCCTCTCAGAGGGCTGATTACTAGCAGTAGGCAAGCAAATGGTGAACAAAGCTAAGGTGAGGGTTTGCAAAGATTTACATTTTCATTTTAGGGTTTATCCTTTCTTCTTCTACTATCACTTCCTCTTGAACTTAGAATGAATCCAAATTGTCAGCGCTGTTGCTTTATTTTGGTAAAATAAGCAAATAAAACCGGAAAGGACAAAGTCTTCCTCAGTGGTGTGGGAATGAGCATGATAAGCTGTTGCCTGGTTGTGTGTAGGAGTTTGTTAACATTTGAAACTCTCTCAGTTTGTTTCACAAGTGGTGCCATATCTCACTGGAGAAGCTGGTTTGGCTGCAAACCCCTCTAGGCCAATATGTGAGCTGTGATGTTCCAATGTGAAAATGGAACCGCCAGGCTGTGCATCAACAGTACGAGTGTGCATAAGTTGCCACTCGTTGAATGCATGAGAGTAATGGATAATTTATGTTCGACATCACTTGTTTAACCAGCTCTAGTCAGACACTATGTATGATAATAACAATGAGGTTGAATAATAAAAAGCCTTCTGAAGATATTGAAGCTTAGTGAATAATCAATAACCTGCTCTCATTTTTTCCATTCCAGCTCTAAGCCGATCAATGATGCCATTTGGACTGATGCGCCGGGAGCTGGCATGTGAAGGCTACCCAATCGAGCTGCGCTGTCCGGGAAGTGATGTCATCATGATTGAGACGGCCAACTATGGCCGCACCGATGACAAAATCTGTGATGCGGATCCTTTTCAGATGGAGAATGTGCAGTGTTACCTGCCCGACGCCTTCAAGATAATGTCACAGAGGTAAGTATTGATCTGTTTGAATCTTGTGCATGTGTTTGTGCAGAGTCAGAGCCTGATATTGGCAGAGGAAACAAGATACGATTTCACAGCATAATCCCTGAAGAATTCCCATTTTTTTCCTATTGTGTTGCTCGGGCACCTACATCTTTTTGAAGGAAGTCCAACCCTCACAGCAATAAATTATAATTTTTTTTTTAAATAGCGGTACAACACCAAAGCTTTTTTAGTGAAATATTTAACTCTATGATAGAGTTGGCTTTTTATTTGCCGTGTATGCATGAGTGGGTGTATGAGAATGCATGAGCTTGGGAATTGTTGTAGAAGCGTTTGTAGGGCTTCCCACTGTTGTTCTCCTTGTTTGAGCTCAGCATCTTCTTCCTCTGAGCTCAGATCAATGGGAACCCTCTCCCAGCTATCCATCACACATGTAATGGAGGCAGAGGCTTGGGGGAGAGTGCAAGAGAGCAAAGGAGGAAAGCAGCAGGCGGTGGAGGGGAGTATTGAGAAACTCAAAGAAGAAAAAAGACTTCCAGAAATGATGGGGTGATAGAGAGAGTGGAGCAGAGATTTCAGAAATGAAGTGAGAGAAAGACTGCATAGCGGAGAGATACTCAATGCTGGATTTAAAAAATAACTATCATATTGAGAACCTTTAAGTGCATGCAAATGAGTACCTTTTTCTCTGTGTTGATGTTGCTCAGGGTGTGCAGACATGAGAGAGTATGCAGAAATTGTATTTAGATGTAGAAGTAATATGCAATTAAGTGTTCTACTAAGTTTGCAGTGTAGAGTATTTGCATTAAATTCTCCCTCACCCACCCAATTCGCCCTTCCCTGTTCTCTCACCTCTAATTGCTCCCACTCACAATCCCTCAGGAGGGGAGGCTCTGACGTCACCCACCCACTCTCTACCTCCCTCCTTGCTTCTTTCTATCCTTGATCCTGTTCCCCATTTTCCCTTCCCTGCCTTTTCCCACCTCCCTTCGGGTGTAGCTGTCACATGATGTAGTGTAGTGTGAAATTACTCCCTTCCTCGCCATTCCCTCTGTCTCTCTGAGCCTGAAGATGTTTCTTTTATAACCACTCCTCTTTGTCTTTCTTACAATGGCACTCATCATTTTTTATCACTTACTCCCCTTCTCCTTCCTCCTCTCTCTTCTTTCCTCCCCTCCCCTTGTCCATCATATCTCTCAGGTGTAATAATCGCACTCAGTGTGTGGTGGTCGCGGGGTCAGACGTGTTCCCAGACCCCTGCCCAGGGACCTACAAGTATTTGGAGATCCAGTATGAGTGTGTCCCCTACAGTAAGTACTGAGACCCCGTCACCTCCTCTGGCTTCCCCACCCCTCTCGCCCCATTCATCACCCCTCCCATCCTTACCTCTAGCTTAACCTCAACCTCCCTAGCCCCTCTTCAACTCCCGTCAAGAAGTGACAATTCAGTCACATGTACACATTTCTCTCTCTGGATTTCCTCAACACAATAAAGACAAAACAAGACACACACCAGTCCTCACCTGCTTTCTCTCTTTTTTTCTCTCTCTTCTTGCTCTTTGGCACATTGCAGAGACACAAACCCGATCACAGAGCACTAAACCTTTTTTTTCCATCAACAGAGTGATGCATCAGCACCTGAGGGGGTTTTCACATGGGGGGAGATGGTCCACAAACACTGGGTCTGATAAGCACTTCACTCACATCTTCTGAAAACATGGGGTCAGCCCCTATTGGTGATCACAGCAGTGTAAGAGACACCGCCCCAAACTCACGCACTGATTAACCCGGGGGCGTACTTCTGCCTTTATCTGCAGCCAAACACCTTTGCTGTCCCTCTGATTCTCAATAAATTTTCAAATTGGGCTCTGCGAGACTTTCAGGTGGGGGGCATAGAGTGTTTGCCACACCTCACAGAAGAAAATGTTAACACAAACAGGCAAAGGGCTTATTTTAGAGCACATGACCTGTGGTGCTGCACATTTTACTGTCCCCATGGTAACGGCTGGCTTTCTGGCTGCTCTGCTCAAAAATCTGAGGCAGGTGTGGGCTTCACAGATCCACACTCACACAAAACAATAATAATAATGATTAAAAAAAAAAGATATGAAGGGGGTTGGGGCGGGGTGCACAAATTGCTCTTTTTCTCCTGGAGTCTTCCTGTCTGAGTGAGCATCTACGCACAGATGAGAGCACACTCACGCATCCCAAAGAGCAGAGCTGGCTGTGATTATATGGTGTTGTGTTGATCCTCGCTCATGTGAAAATCTCCGCTCGGTCTCCCCCTCTCCCTCTCATGTATTATAACGCTCAGCATTGATCCCTTCACTGTGTGCAGGACTGCCTGTGTGAAGAAGGGAAGCAGTGGCACACCCCTCCACTGAGCAGAAGTGTTTGACTTTTGGGGTTAAATGCTTAGATAAAAACTATATTACATTTACGGTGTGGGTGTTGTTTCATTCTTTGAATATATTAGATTATTGTGTCCTTTTTTTTAGACTTGCAGGTTGAAGTGAACCGCAGCAACCAGCTAACTTCTTTCTCTTCTCTTTGCTTTCATCTTCATCGCCTTCTCTCAGCGGTCATTTTGACTGTTATTTCACACAGTCAGTTTGACCTCTTTTCATGTCTGTCTCTCTTCTTTCTTTTTATCAGCTTTTCAGTATGCTTTCCAAAGTTTCAAACCCTTTGCACAACCATTTTGCTTTCCTTTATCTCATTTTTCCCTGCTTTTCAATCAATTTTTCCCTCTTTTCGTTCAGTTCTTACTCTGTCTCCTTGGGTTACTTTTTTTTTGCAGGTGGGACAAATCAAATCCAAAACACTCATGGATTTCCAACAACCTAGTTACTCTCTGCTCTTGTTCTGCTCAGGGCTTTCTACCTTCTCTTCTTATTTTCTTTCCATAGGTGAAAACCGCGGTCACACTGACCATCTTCTTCAGTCACTCTTATGGAAATCTTGCACTATAGCCACTTGTCTGTCCTTTGCTGAGGGACACAGTTGCATCAATCAGATGTTCCAGTTTCCTTTCCCTTTTATATCCTGACCTTGTGTTATTCTAATTGACTTTCAAAGGGAGCTTGTTGTCTCCCTGCCAAACAATCAAAGTGTATGATGAATTGATAGCTGCTGGCTTGCATTTCTCCCTCTCTGTTTGTTAAAACTTTGCTGATTGTGAACAAGCGATGAGCATAGCAGAAAATGGAAAGCTGATCCTGATGCGATGGGAGGTTTTACTTATCTGAGATAAAAAAGAAAAAGCCAATAACTTCTGTCCTTGTGATGCTCTGAATAAACAAATGCAGACATGAAATGAATTCATATACAGCTTAGGCTGTCGGCTGTTCTTTGCATTTGGACTCATATGACAAAACAAACACGGCTTGACATTAAAACTTCAAAGTTAAACTTTTCATTCCGAATCCTTTTCGCCAACGCACCATACGCCACTCAACTCGGCCACTTTTAATTACCAGGAGAAGGAGGTGCGCTGCTCTCTTCAGTTCTGCCTCAGCAGAGATTTGTCAAGATTAATTGAATTTGCTGCTGCTAATCGCTCTGATAGTGCCCCGTCGTTCACGTCTGGCTGGGAATGCCGGGCACTTGGGTACTATCTGATGCATGTTTTTTGTTGGTTGTCTCAACAAAAGGGTGAAGTAAGTGATATGTAAAGATTACGTGTCATAGCAGCTGCGATGGTGTGTAGCCAAGTTGATGGCTGGGTGGGATTTTGCATTTGACAGGGTCCTCTGTGTGAGTGGCGCTTGTGTGACACAGGCGCCATGTTGCCAGTCACCTGAAACGGAGAGGTGACAGCAACAGCAGATCTGACACGTACAACACAGCTCCGCTGTCTGAGCTCATATGACAGTGGGACAACTGTGTAAGGTCACTGTGTCTGTTTGGTTGCTTTGGCAAAATACAACCACTAATAAGTCAAACCATGGCTCATTGGGCCAAAAGGGGCCTTATTTGGCATGTAGCATTGTTTTTTTTCCCACTTGGAAAAGAGCAAAAGCAAATGGCTCAACTGAACTGTTGTTTCACACTGTCACATCATGCTGTAGCCTGCTGGATTTCATTAAGACATCACAGATCCATAAACACAGCTGCAGCATGTGTTTACTGCAGTGAGACAACCCCACTGCAGTCTTAACGCAGAGTGAATAGTAAACCCTGCCTATGAGACAGCTCTACCTGTTCCCCCTCCCTTTCCAGAATACATTGCTAGATCATTATTGATTCTGAATGGTCTCCTTTAGGGTCATCCATACTTGCAAGACCAGAACATTTAGACCTTGTTTATATGCACAACACCGGTTGATATACTGTATAGCAGAGACTCTCCTTACCTTAACTCTGCAGACTGCTGTATTTAATTCAGATTTCGCTACTCTCCCACTGTTTCACTTTATAAAATAGATTCTTCCCCCAGAAATTTATTCAGCACTACCTATTCATTACAAGACATCCGCTTTTTCGGACAAAAAGCTGCTGGAAATGAGAGTTGACTTGTCGGGAAGAATTTGTCAGTAGAAGGAATAATGGCATTGTAATATGACAAGTTTTCAGGGGAGGAGAGGCAGCACTTTGATGTAGCTTAAAATGAAAATCTATTAATATGTATAGAACCACCATTAGACGTGGGACTCATAAATGTTTGGTGAGTGAGAGGCAGGAGGCTCCGCTCTGGCCTTGGAATGGGATGACTCTTTTCTTATAAAAACTGAAAGGGCGAAGAGGGGAAAACAGAGACAGGAGAGGGTAAGAGAAACTGAAGAGGACACACAATCTCTCAGCACTTGGAAGAGGAGACAGAACAATAGGCGTGTGTGCAGTTTACAGTGTGTGGTTCTAGTTGCACTCATTGCTGTGGGAGTAATTGATAGGGTTGTAGAGAGCACTGAGCAGAGTGATTAACGGCAGAGAGGGCAGCGGCTTATTTCTCAATAGAGCCCTGAACAGAAATGCTAAAGGAATCAGACAAACAAGCAAGGTGGCCTTAATTTAACCTTCAGCTCTCTGTGATGACAGTTTGATGAGTTTCTGTCTTTTCTTACTGTTTGTTTCTGTGTGTTTGTGTGTGCTCACAAGAACGCGTGATTGTGTTGTGCCAATTTGTGCTTTGCACTTTATTTTTCAGGAAACCAAGAATAGAAGAAATGGAGTCAACACAAGTCTTCGACCTCCCTGATTTTATCTTCTTTCTCTCCACAGAAGCCAAGAACTTTTCTTTCCTTTCTCTTTCTGTCTACATGCCGTTGCAGTGTATCACCCACCATTTCCGCCTTTTTCGGGGGGAAAAAAATGTATTCTCAGTTGAGCTTTTAGAAAATTGCATTCAGTTTTCTATTTTAAAAGGAATGTAGGCTCAAACTGGAATGGAGCGGAAAAGCTCTGTATCAGCATTTTTCTCAGACAGGGAAAAATACAGAATTCAGTGCCCTGCAAAAGTATTCAGACTCATTGGATTAGTTTCACATTTTGACACGGTAAAAAATATCATAAGATGTTATTTGTGAAGGGACGGGACAGCTCTACATCCGCTGATTTTTTTTACATATTAATCTGAAAGGAACATTTGGTTTCAACCCCCTCAACACCTTTGGCCACAATGAAAGCTACTCTTTTGGGGCCCTTCCTATTAATAAAGGTTATTTATTTGAAAGCTTCCATGTGGCTCTAGTTGTATGTGTAAGTTCTTTTTAATCCAGAAAGGTGTAACACTAAACCTGTTTTAAGTCATTTGTAGACTCACAGGTCTTCTTATCGTTTCATGCTTTATTTAGCTCTGTCTGTCTTCCCTGGTTAATCTTGACCCACTTTCCTGTCCCCGTTAAAGAAAAAGCATCCATGCTACATGATGCTGCCATGTTTCAGTGTGGTGATTCTAAATTCAAGGTTCTGTACAATGTTAGTTTTCTGCAACACAGTCTTTTTCATCTTGGCAAAAAGCAGAATTTGGGGTCAGCCTTAGCAGTACTATCTGGGTTTCCTCTAGATGTCTCTATGACTTGAGGCATGTAATGCTATCCCCACCCAGGGACCAGACTATAGGTTGAACAGTGCTATATGAGATATTCAAATATTGATTTAAATATTTAAATATTGACTGTTTATAACCTAACCCTGAATTCAATTTCTCTCAGTCTTTATGATGCATTTTTTTCATTAATTCTCTTTGACAATGCTCTGAGGCCTTCCTGAACAGCTAGATGTGTACTCAAGTTATATATCTTACAGGTATATTCTGTTTTTTATTTATTTTTCTTTTGAATATTTTTCTGAATAGAGGCTTGGGATTTTATTTAATGACTGTAGATTAGGGAGGTTCAATACAATTGCAAGGTAGATTATTTGTCTTTGCCTGTCACTTAAAATCCAAATCAAATGCCTTGACAGATTGAAACTTTCGAAATAAAAACTTTAAGAGCTCTGAATACTTTTGAAAGGCACTTTTTTAAGTTCTGCCAAATAGATGCCTCTCCTTCCACCTGCTCCACAGAGAGGTTAGGAATGAATGAAAGTTCTGGATGTGAGTGCTATCCATTGAGTCAGTCTCTCCCTGATCTAACCTTGGAAGTAATGACTGAACTCACAGTTGGGGGGATGGCCTGTTTGTTTGTTTTTTACTATCACACCTTGCCTGGCTTTGCAGCCCTGCTTTCCTGTTCTCACCCTTCAACAATGAAATTGGCCCAAAGTTTCTTAATCTCAGATATTGTGAGTCTGGTTTGATCTTGCGATGAGATGATAAATATAAATCATGATGCTTATTATGTCAGTGTCAGGGATCAAGGCGGTTTTAGGCTATTTCGTTTTCCCCCAAATGTTTCTTTGTCTTTTTTAGTTAATCTTGTCTTTCTCTCATTCTTTTACTATCTTGATGGGCAACCCAGGGAGGTGTTGTGACATACTGCAGGAATCCCTTGAGACGCAAGACTCCATGTGACATATACACCACAATCACACCCACAGTGGGGATCTGACAGCCATGTGACTTTTGACAAGCCTCTTCCTGGAAAACACAGATTTGCTCGCACACAGCACTTTTGGCTGTGTAAACACACAGGGAAGGTGCTATAATTTCGAAGGAGGAGCTGAGATTCTAGTACGTACATCATGTAGTCCCCATCTGACACCATCATGGATATCTAGGGACCCACACTTTACCTGTTAGTGCCAGCTGAGGCCTCACTGTGATTCAGCACACACATCTATTGATTTGTGTGTTATGAGCTCACTGTAGACATTTTTCTTATCCCTCTCTTGTCCTAATCCAAACCCCCACACTCACTGACACACACCCTCTCTGGCTTTGCCTCTTGGTCTCTTACTGTGTTTCTGAGGTGTTCCACTCTGTCAAGCCCTCCCTTTCCCCTTGTTGTTTGTTCTCTATTTCTTTGATGAGCCAGTCTCGGCCAGGCAAGCCTGGAGCTCCCCACTGATTGGATGGTCGATGGGTTGAATGTTTTTTGCCAGTCTCTATGGCAAGCATCTCTGGCTCTATAAATCAAGTAAGGCCAGAAGAACCGCTTTCTTTGGGTCAAGAAACTACTCTAAGGTGAACGTTGACTATGCAAGGAGATAAAGCAAGTGAGAAAGGTTTCCTAAACTCTCAAAAGACAACTGGTCACAGAAAGATAGCTTCATCACCACCTCTCCATCTGCCATTTTTCTGTCTTCTGCTCTGCCTTTCTCTGTGTTTTCCTTTTCACAGCTAACCAGAAAAACGCCTGCGATGCTCTCCGCTGGGTTTCTCTCTCAAACAGGTTTTCTGGAGCTGTGCTTATGGCGCAAAGGGAAAACGGGAGGGGGGAAGGAAGGGGTATCGTGGTAAGATGGGTGAAGCTGGGGCTGAGAGTGTGTGCTTTGGGTGGATTGTGTTGTCGGGAGGGGTTATTGATAAATGTGAAAGGAAATGGAAAAAGATTAAAACCCAGGTCAGGCCATTTTGCCCCTTATCATTTTCCATTCAAGCCATCCTTTATGTGAGTAGCCAACCATAACGCAGACAGATAACTTGCTTTAAAAAAAAACAGAGCGTAAGAGAAAGGACAGCGTTTTATTTAATCTAAATTTTCTCTTTTTTTCCTGCATCTGTTTTTTCCTTTCATTCTCTTTACTTTCCCTCTCTTTTTCTTCCTGTCTCTCTGTATTATCTCTCTGTCTCCTTCTTTCTCCTTTTTTTCCGATGCTTGAATAGAAGTGGATCAAAAAGGTAAAGTCCACAATGAACATAACAACCACAGCTCGCCCCTTCCTCCCTCTTCCCTCTCCTACTCCCTTCTACCTTCTCCCTGTTCCTTCCTAACCCTGCACCCTGTGTAGTGGTCATGTTTGATGTTGATATCCCTTCCTTTTCTTTCTCAGTCTCTAATCGCCTCCCTCTCCTTTCTTCTGTAACCAAAACTCTAAAATCCTTCTAGATCTCCTCCTTGGTTTTGATGACGAACACCCTGACTACCAAAACACACTCATATACATGAACAATCACACACAAAAAGCTAATTTCAGGTCAGTTCAGTGTTTATGAGAGATAAATTAGGCTGCATCATTTAGCCTTTTAAAAAGTAGCATAATCACATTTTTTTTGTGCCAAGTCTGTCCATTGTTCCATCTTAAAAAAAAACTTCATCCTGCCACTGTTGCCTCAAACATTTTATAATAGCTTTTCCCCATGATTCTGATTTTTCTGTCCCACATAGATCTGTCCTTGTAGATTTAAGAAAAAAGAAAGTCACCATCTTTAATTATATTACTCAACTGCTCCTTTTATCCATATTGTATCTTTTTATTTTTTCTCTTTTCTTTTTTCTTTCCAGGACTAACATTAAGTGTATTGTTTTTAGTAATCTGGAGGGAGAATGTAGTGTTAGGATAACTCAGTAATTAGACTAACTTGCTTTCATATTATTGTTAACTGCATCCCATTTTCAGGTACTTCAGCATCCTTCTCATTCTGTCCATATTAATTCTTTTGAAATGATAATTATTAAATTTGAATACCTCGCTTCCACTCTCCACCTACTTACAGCTCATCTTTTTATGTTGTATTTTCGATCCTTCCTTCTTTTTGCTCTCCCCCTTTCCAGTATAATTGGTTTATCTCTCAGATTGCACCTGGCCATTACAAAAAGCCACAGGCTTCTTTGAAGATCTTTTGCAGTTCTCTTCGCACTCCCTTCTTTACCATACTGTTTCTGATTTATTTATTGTTAACACATATGTGCCCCCAGGTAGTCCCTTACACCTTAAACCATCATCTTCTTTAGTCCATCTCTTCTGGTTCCTCTTGTGACTAAGAAGAGTAGCGGGGATGGGGGAGGGAGATGTATCCTCTGTAGGGAGCCCTTCAGCTTCGTAAAATGGCCTCTCTGATGCTGCCTGAGCCTTTCCAAAGCACTTTTAAAGAGCTCCAATCAGCACAGCCATGCACCTCAATCACAGAATTCTTAAAGTGCAAAAGATAGACTTGACCCTGTTCAAGGTCAGAGCAACAATAGTTGCAGATATTTCTAGCTTCCCAATGAGCTTCTACTCCCCCTTCCAGGTCCTCACCTTCTCTACCTTCTCTGAATCCCTCTCTTATCAGCGTCACTCTTGACCGTCCCTTTCCCATGCACCATGGCAGGATCCATGAGCTGGAGGAATTAAGTCTCATTTCAGCTGTCATTAACTGGTTAAGGGACTCCTTTGTCTGTTCTTACATCTGTGGCTTTTATTAACATGAATCATTGTCTACATTCTTTCTAACCTCAAGCAGCTATTTCACCTCACTTTTATCAAGCTTGTAGTGACGTAGAGAGCTACAGATCCTTTTTCCTCCTGCTTTCACCTCACCAATCTGATTGTATTTATTCACCATTCTTCCACCCACTAACACTCAAAGGAAAAACCTATTTCCTTTGCACTCCAGCCAATGTTTATCTTCAAACATTTCTCCACTGGTGTTGAATGTCTTTAAATTCTTTGAATGTGAATGACTTCTGTTTCCTGCTATTTGTGGAATTAATCATCCCTAATTGATCTGTGGAATGACAGAGTGGTTTTCCCGATGATGTTCAAGTTTCTGTGATGATGTAATAATTTAAGTATCCGCTATCGGTCTACCTGCTGTCAGTCCATATTAAGACTATACCACCTACAGCTGCCTCTTCCATCCCATCACTTCCTCTGTCCCTTTTCTCACCCTACCCTCTACGAGTGCCAAAATTATCCTGGTATCTACTTTAACAGTGTTGGCAGGGCAAAATAGTGTTTACTTTACCCCATTTTGTTTACTCCAAACGAAGGACAAGCAAACAATTTAATAATTATTCGAACACAGTTAAAAATCCTATTATCAACAGGAAGGTTTTATATGCAGGACAAAGCCTAGCTTAAATAAAAGGCTTTCTGTGTGCCGATTGAAAAAGTGAGAGGAAATAAGTGAGAAAACAGAGTGCTGTGTGACAGAAAAATACAAAGAATGGCTGTGAATGGAAAAAAGAGAGAACAAGCAGTTGCTATAGAGACGTAGAGTCTAGCAGCATCCCCTCATTAAGAATGACCCACCACACACAAGCATGGTCATGTGACCAAGGTACTGCAGACACACTTTTTTGACGTAGGGAGATAGGGGATGGTTAAGAGATCCAAACTATACATGTAGGAATCATTGCTATTTTAATGGTTGGGGAAAAGAGGGGTAAATTAGTGAGCTTAGGAATGAAGAAAAAATAACTAATTGACTTTAAGAAAAAACGTTAAGAAAAAACCTCTAGAAGACTGAGAGCAAGAGTGAGGAGAGGAGGCAGCTTAAGAGACTAACATTACTAACAGGGAGGCTCGTTGTTGCTCCACCTCTTAAGCCTTATCCAGAATACAGTATGCCCCTCTGTTCTTTATATTTTCAGCTTCACACAGAGGTAGTAAATACTTTCAAAATTATATATATATATTTATATATATATATATATATATATATATATATTTGTTTTGGTCTCAGTTAAGGGTATTATCTGGGGTTATTGTTTGAGTTGATAAAGTTTTAAAACTTTCCTCTTCCATTGTCTGGATGGTGTGTTCTTGCATGCATTGTCTAAGAAAGTGTGTGCCTCAGAGTGTATGTTTGTTTATGTTTTTCTGTACTGTGATTTTATTCCTAAGACCTGACCCAGTATAGTCTAAAAGGAAGCGGAAACTCAATGGGAGCCCCCCTCCCCTTTCTTTCCTCATATACCTCTCTTCTTTTATCACTCTTTATCACTCCCCAGCAAATTAACTCACTCCTGATTCTGATTTTACAGGAAATAACCTATTTACTCTTTTACTCCACTCCTCTTCTTTTTGTGCACAACAGAACATGCTTACATCCCTCTTTCTGCTTTCTTCTCTGTTTCTTCTGTTCAGTGCAAACAAGCATGCAACACATTTGCACACATTCACCAAGGTGAAGATACACATACACACTAATTTTTGAATAAATTCAAGCACATGCAATCAGTTTAACGGCAAACACTCATGCACGCCAATAAACAGTCCAAGCAAGGATGCAGATTAGCATGACATGCTCCATTCTGCCCCCTGCTGAGTACTTGCGGCACCTGCCACTAACAGGTGGGGAATTCAATTAGAACAGCATGGCCACAGCAGTCAGTTTTTTGAGTGGACCACTACAGACTGGACAAGCAAATGCATTGGCGAGAAAAAACCTACGTTTCTTGTAGGTAAAGGAAAAGCACAGCACTTAAGAAATACACTGCCAACCATTGGCAGGGGGTGTTCAGATCATCAAAGTGGAGCATTAGCCATCACCAAGATGCTGTCAAATCAAATATGAAAACAGCATGGGCTGCAGGCAACAGCCAAAATGAAAGATCTAAATTTAGCCAAAAGCTGTCAGTGTTCACTTTTACCAGTCGATCACGAATGGCACTAATGGGAGGTTTTTGCTGTCATTTTCCAGAAAGTTCTTGGGCTTTCAGTGTTTCATACAGGAGCCTCATATTGACAAATAAAATCTGACCTGTGCCTGGGAAAGGAATTATAGAGATAAATACTCAATTAATACAGCAGCATTTCGCAGCCTGTGTGGTGGTAATTGCAAGCTTGAGTGGGCTAGCTACAGCCTGTATTTTAATCCCTGATAAGGTAAGTTTCATTAGTCATTTGGCCGGTTTAGGGTAAAAAAAAAGTGTTGTGCGTGTGCTGCATGATAGCTTCACTGAAATGATCACGAGTCCAAGATTTCCGTAGCCAAGGAGGAATTAATCTATTTATCCATCTCACATAATCCAGATGGCTCTGCGGAAGCTAACCTGATCTACCCAGACTAGGATAATGCCTAATCTCAAGATTTATGCCTAATGCTTATTGCCTAATTCCTAATACCTCATTCATTCTGTGGTCATAATATCCTCTCCTACTATACCTCTCTGCAGCCAGAGTTCAGCTGCTCCAGCTCCTGCTGTTAAACACTTCACAGTTACAATTGAGAGGAAAGCAAAGTAAAGAAAGCCAAGAAGAGTCGGTAAACAGGAAAGCAGCCGGGGAAAACTGGGGAGTGCTGGTCAGACTTAATGAAGCCCCCCAGGCAGGGTTTGTAGGATGTGAAGCGTGGCCACTCTTTCTGTCTGCCATGTGAATGTGTGAGTAAGAGCATTTGTGCGAGTCTCAAGCTCTGTGGATGCAGCTTAGATGCCGCTGATGAGACCCTTTGACATTGAGCCAACCCCACCACCAGTTCATTAGATTCAACCAATGTACAATGATTGCTGGGAAAGAGGCGGAGGAAGACAGAGAAGGTCATGGAGGAGCAACACACATGGTCTCTGCTGGGTTCCTGAATTAGTGGACTGATGAACCACAAAGTATGGAATGCAAATAATTTGATCCACATCAAAGAGCTTTGGTGTAATGGTTCACATAATATTGTCACACAGGATTTTTGAGTGAAAAAAAAGTTTTGTTTTACTTTCTTGACAATCTTTAATGTCTGATTCAAACTAAAAGAAACCAACATAAACATTGCGTTAGTGCAATGTTTTAAGTCCTCAAAACATGTGATTAAAATTTGACTTAAAGCTACAGTGTGTAATTTTCAGCGACATCTAGCGGTCAGACTACAGACCGCAGCAACATGAACATCTCCCCCCCACCGCTTCTCCCCCCCAACAGTACGGCGAGCGTTACGGGACAAAATTTCTTCTACGACGTCCACATCACCTACCCTCTCAAGTGATGAGGTTTGTTTACATAGATAATTTTACAGATAGTATTTCATTAGTCTGTGTAGGGTATAGATTTCATGTAGACTTAAGATAATAAATATACCCGTTATTTTTTCTACATCGTTGTGACGTCTTGGTGAGCTGCTTTGCATGGTGATATAAACAGACGAAGTAATTGTAGTCATTAGTTTAACAGCGAGATTGTGTTCGCTGGAAGAATATATATCCCCCGTTTACAGAGTCCAAGTCATTTTGGTGGCACGGGGGTTACAACGCGAGGGAGAGGGAGAGGACGAGGGCGAAGGCAGGGAGGCCGTGCAGCTAGGGCCAGGCGAGAGAGGGGAGCCAGCGGGGTGAGAGCAGAGGAGGAAAGGCTTGAAGATCTCCAAAGGAGCCGGAGAGAAGTAACCGAGGTATATATCCAGAAAATTATTTTACAGAAAATTACTGAATCATTACCTGTGAAACGTCAGGGACGTTGCTGAATAAGTATACTGGAGAGTAACAGCATCATCACGCAGCATGTTATTGTTTTAGACAGGTCTGAGCATCCTGTACTCCAAAAACTGCAGTGATATTAGACAATTGTGTGTGTAGGATTAATTACCTGTCCAAGAGAAAACTGGCAACTTGAGCGTCACTTTGAAAACCTTTTTCCTCCATCAGTGACTTCCATCGTGTAAATGCCGTGCCAATGTTGATCCGTGTTTTTTGCCGTTTCTTGTCACGCTTGCGTTTATTCTCGTCGTGTTTCCGCTTCTTAGATGACGGGGGTTCGGTGTCCGCCGCTTTTCGTTGTGATACAGAGTCGGCATGATCCTCCATTCGTCTGATGTTTGGCCACACAGTGCCAAACAGTTTGCAAAGTCACTCACGCCTGCCGCCTTGTTCACCTTTCTTGTTACTGAGGCGCAGTATACCTGCTTCTTCTTCTTCTTTGGTTTCAGGCAGACTAAACGCTTCTCAGGCATAATACTGCCATCTACTGTTCAGTACCGTCTCAGTTAATCTCTCTCAACTTGCCGTAGTTATTTTTGAGCGTCATGGGAGATCTCGCAATCGCTAGTTTGTTGCCTCTGCGCTTGCCGTAGCGCAAAGATGTCAGCCTCCATGGCTGCGAGACCCGCTCCTATGTAATTATAAATAACGAATTCTAAGGCAACGCAAATATTATGGTTAAAAGGCTGAGCTCATAGGTGATGATAAATAACATAGTTATGTATAATATATTAAATTTCTGACTTTATATGCCTGTAATTATTACACACTGTAGCTTTAATAACTGTGACTATATTTTTGCTTTAGGCAGTTAAATAGAAAGGGATACTTTCTTTTTCCATTTAGTTGTAGCTGAATGCCTGCATGTAAAGTGATAAAAGAATTTGGCTTGTTTATTTGTTTGCCTGTATCCTATATACTACCTTGAGGCACAGTGTTGTTTATTGGTTGCCAACATATCAAGTCTTTTTGCTGTTTATTTTACAATTCACGCTATGTCAAGCTTGTATTTTTTAGGAAGTACCCTACGTCTGATGATTGTTTCTCTCATTGGTGACTTCTATTACCTGTAGTTAAAAATCATAGTTTTAGCCTTTCTTTAAAGTATTTGACACTATTATCAATAACTGACATATTTCATTCACTCACAATTGTATCTACAAAGCAAACATTTTAAGCCTCAACACTTTCAGGCAAAGATTTTGGTTCAACAATGGAGCATGACAAGCCTCCTGCCTGCAAACGGTCTTTATTTGGTGTTTGTTTGTGCCTGACTGATTAGATTCCTGTTTGGCTGGCAGTCTCAATTCCTGTTGGACCCTTCAGACAGAACAGGCTAATTCCTAGGAGACTCAGAAGCACAGATCACCAGCCACTACCAGCAGCAGAACACCAGAAAGCACAAAGAGAGAGCTGGATGTCCGGTAGCCTTGATTTACTCCTCCATCCTCTCTGTTGGGATTCTCCTCTTTTCCCAGAATCCATGCAATATTCAAGACAGTTTGAGCCTGGACTGATCCGTCACTCAAACTGTTGCAGTTTGACAGGATATGTATAACTGTGTAGGCTTGTGTGTGGAGGCTTGTGTGGTGTCCCTGTGTGAATGGCAACCGTCTCAGTCTGTCTGCGATTCGATGTGTGCTGTCTGTGTCCAAATGTCCCTGCAGTATCTAATTAGTTCAGGGATGCGTTCAATCATGAGGTGACCAGCAGGTGTCTGGTTCTGCTGCAACCATGAGCCCCCGAGACACATAGATAAACTGGTAATGGAATACATGGGGACCATTCATCTGTTTTGTTCTGTAGAGCTTCCAATTCTGGTACTCCCTTGTCCCTTGCTGCTTTCTATAGCCGGGACCCCTGTGATGCCAGAGTGCTGAGGATGGCCACAGGTTTCCTCATAGATAACCTGACACACCAGTTAGATCCCTTGGCAGCCTTGGACACACAACATCAGACAGCCAATTTACAACAGTCCCCAATGGATGACCTCCACCTGTCCAAAATGGACAATGTCTCTATGCAGTGTGCATGTGTGTCTGTTTGGTAGATGGACACACATCTACCTTTTTCAGTGAGCTTCAATGTCTGTTTGTGACTGAGAATGTTGTTTGTGTCTTACTTTATGTGTAAAATGACAAGAGAGGGGAGGCTCATGCAACCTCACATTTTTACCCCAGGATGCTTTCTTTTTGTCATGGAGGCATTACTCTTGACTGAGAGCCAAATTTAAGTAATGAATAATCTAGTAAAACAATCTCCACAATTATTCTTTGAATACCCAGGTGCAGAGCGAAAAAGTGAAGGCCCTTTAAAAGAGAAAATGCACAATCAAATAAAAAGTAGGCCAAGTTAAATTAAATTATGGACCACATCTAAGCGGCGAGTGCAGCCAGAAATCTCCCATTCATCATATTCAAATGTTTTCTGAACATAATGCTCAAGTTCTTTAAATGGGCTTTTATGTGTTCCCTCATTTCAAATCTGATAATGTTCACCACCTTATTTCTATCTCTCTCTGCCATTCTCCAGCTATTCTTTAGTCTTTTCATTTCTATACTTGCTTTTTATCTACTTAGAGCTTTCTCTTTAGCCCTCACTACCTCTCTTCATCTTCCTTCATATTCTAGTCTTTTTCAATCTCTCACACTCTCTCACACCTACCATCTCCATGAAAACTATCATCATTGCAATGCTTTGTCTTCACTTTTGTCCAATTGTTTTAATTTTTTTATTTTTTGCCACTCTACTCCAGTTTTTGTGTGCCCTGGGACATTGCTGCGGGTGCAGGTGCCCAGCTCTCAGCAGGAAGCTGAGCACCAGGCGGGGGCTTGGTGTAAGGACCCTCTGCAGTCTGGGGACCGTCTGTATGTCATGCCCTGGACCCCCTACCGCACAGACATGCTGTATGAGTACGCCTCCTGGGAAGACTTTAAACAGAACCGAGCCACAACTACCTACAAGTGAGTGTATTGCTCACTGCCTTGGATGATCAAATGGCATCTGCGGCAGTACTGAATAACTATTTTTTAATATACTGTAGATATTGCTAGGAATAGTAGAATGTACCCCTGTGGAACTGGAATGGAACCTCTGCATTGCACGGCCCCACATATACGTGTTTATTAATCCCTTTTTATTCTTATCACAGGCTGCCAAACAGAGTGGACGGCACAGGCTTTGTTGTATACGACGGTGCAGTATTTTACAACAAAGAACGCACTCGAAACATTGTCAAATATGACCTACGTACGCGCATCAAAAGCGGTGAAGCCATTGTCACAAATGCCAACTATCACGACACTTCCCCGTACCGCTGGGGAGGAAAGTCAGACATCGACCTCGCCGTGGATGAAAATGGCCTCTGGGTGATATACGCCACTGAATCCAACAACGGACGACTGGTGGTCAGCCAGGTGGGAGAGCAGTGGTGCACCACAAGGAAAGGGATATGGATTGCAAATGTAGGATTAGATTATCCAGAAATTTCATCTGCGTGGTCAGGCGGATGGTCAATAGAGTGAAATAACTTTTTCTGAGATTACAAGCATGCACTGACAGATGAGATATGGAAAGCCTGCTGTCTGACAAATGGAGCTGTATAAATATCATCAGAAATATTTTGGGTCACATTTTAAATCCCACCATCAAGAAATGTCTTTGCTAGCAAGATTAGTATTTGATTTGTTTTGCATTGTATCTCCACTGAAAAACAAATTATTTGGACTTTGGAGATATTATGACCTAAAAGGATGCCCTTATCCTTGACAATCCCAGGATGCCTCACTTTTGCTTTGTTTGCAAAATAATCTCAAAATTGGATCACTGAGTGAAGAGCTGAATGATTTATATTATTTTTATACCTGCTGTTGGTTTGTTTTCAAATATATATCTTATCTTCTGCAGCACTCCTCATAAACAATACTTAGACTAATAGGTTTGCTTTCCTCTGCTTAATATTTACTCTATAGAATTATTCTTTAAGTTTTTTAAACCTGAGTGGATTTTCAGATGTTGACCGGATTATGGATTTCTAAACCCTGAAGCTGATTTTAATATGCTTACTGAAAGGAAATAATTTCAGCATAAATTAAATGACAAAAACATGTGAACTAGCAAAGAGCCATAAACTTTAATAGGGATTTTTATGAAAATGATCAACACTAAAAAGTACATAATTGTGAAAAGAAAACTTAATTGCTTAGCCAAATGTTTATCAAAGTCCTGCATAAAAAAACAAACACCTTCATCACTGATAAAGAAAGTAAAATGTTTATATTGTATAAAGTCATTACATATATAATTAAATATTCAAGCATTTAACTCAAGTGGTTTTAAAGAAAAAGTCGTCCTAACTCTGGAGAGGCTGCAAAGATCTGCAGATAAAGCAGCACATTTGCAAGTCAAACAACAGACTCAAACTTACAATATGTCATTAGCCTTGTAATCTACACAACAAACATCTGGAAATAAGTTGTTCTGCTTAGTTGAGATCATTTCTGTATCCATAGAAAACTCTGCACTGCAGCTACTATTGTGTAGCATGGTGGTGACAACATCATGCTATGGTGTTGTTTTCTTTACCAGGAACAGGAAAGCTGATCAAAGTTTAAAGCAAGATGAATAAAGCGTAATATTGGAAAATCCCAGAGAAAAGATAGATAAAAGCTGCAACAGATTTGACACCATATGCTCCTTCAATCTAATGTGAATTAAATCATATTTCTAAGAAACTCCAAATGTAGTCTGGACCTTTTAGAAATCACCCTTCCTTGGCAGGGCTTTAAAATTGCTAACTTGGATCAAGCTTTTTCGCAAAAAAGACTATAGTCTTACTACAGTTTACAAAATTTTATACCAATAATTGACAAAGTTATTAAATAAATCAACAAACATGTGTATTTAGAAAGGATAGAAATTTAAATTTATTGATCTCACAATGGTGAAAAATAACTCTGCATTTAACCCATCCCCTCCGGGGAGCAGTAGGCTGCCACTGTCGTGCCAGGGGAGTATTGTGGGGTTAAGGGCCTTGCTCAGAGACCCAGACTGCCAGCTTTGGGGATTGAACTGGGTACTTGCAACCTTTTCAGATTGCAAGTGCATTGCTCTAATCACTAGGCCAACACTCCCCCATGAAAAAATATAGGCACGGAACAGTTTGGATTTGTAGGAAGTTCAGTGCTTTTTCCATCCTTATCACAATGATGCATTGCTTTGTGTTGGTTCATCACCAAAGATCCCATAGTTTTATTAATGTTCTTTCTGCAGGTTAACCCTTACACACTTCGCTTTGAAGGCACCTGGGAGACAAGCTTCGACAAGAGGATGGCTTCCAACGCCTTTATGGCCTGTGGCGTTCTTTATGCGGTGCGGTCAGTCTACCAGGACGACGACAGCGAAGCAGGCGGCGACCTGTTGATGTACGCCTACAACACCAACCGTGCGCGTGAGGAGCCGGTCAACATTGCTTTCCCAAATCCCTACCAGTATATATCATCTGTGGACTACAACCCTCGAGACAACCAGCTTTACGTCTGGAACAACTACAATGTCCTACGCTACCCACTTGAATTCGGACCACCAGACCCCACTACCGGTAAGGAATGATTCCAAGAAAAGCATATAATAACAGATAATGTGCTCCAATTAAATATTTTAGCAAGAACCTGTGTTTTGTCTCTCAGATGGTCTTTTTAAGTTTGCAAAACACTTTAAGTAACAGCTTAAATATTTAACTCTGTCCCACAACGCTATTTCTCTTCATCTGAGAAGCCATCAGGCAGTTCATGTAGAATGTTTCTCTAAATTGGGAGCTTCAGATAGCAAATTATCCTCCAGCATGGCAGCAACATGGAGAAGCTTTTTCCCATACAACTGCAGTGGCACCTCATATCAACGTCAGTGTGTAATGAATAATAAAAAAAACTCATCACCAGCCTGATAAACTGGAATGTTGAAATGGGCGTGGCATTTTGTTTTGGTTATATTATTATTTTGAGAGGATGGTTGAGATGTGCAGTAGTTCTAAATTACATACAAACTAGTAAGACGGTTTGATTAGTTAAAGAGAGGAATGAGCAGCTGCAGAGCTGCACGACATCTCTGGCTTTGATCTGATAGGATTTTGTAGTTTTGATGTCTGGCTTTTTATCTTCGCATCAGGGTTGGTTGTTAGTGATGGTGACTTCTATGATGCATTTGATAAATTATTGATTTATCTCTGAATTGCGATGCTGCTTTTTCTTCCCCTGCCTACTATTGCTTTGGAGAGTGTTTAAGAGGTTTAAAAGTTGTTTGTTACCCTGATTGCTGGGTTTTGAACTAAGCTTCTGAGGAACATTTTACATTCAAACACATATGTCTTGTGTTTCTTAATTTTTATGTCTAATTTTGTTTTTGATTTATTATAAATGTTCCACAGATTTTCTTCGGATTGAAAATTTTAATTTGCCCTTTGATTCATTTTCAGGCCCTCTGACCACCACTCAAGTGACCCCAACTCCACCAGCTAGACCATTCACCTCCAGTGCCAGTCCCTCTACCATACGTCCTCTGGCCCCCACCTCACGCCCAATCGGCTCCATTAACAAGCAACCTGATCTCCGTCCAATCACAGCCACGGTACCCGTCACTCGTCGGCCACCTCCCCCTCCTCAAGGCCCACAACGGTATTTTTGTGAGACTAAGCTCATCCGGGGTATCCAGTGGCCAACCACTCAGCGAGGGGAAACTGTTGATCGTCCTTGTCCTAAAGGATCCTTGGGTGAGGATAGCAGCACATTTCTGTTTAAAGGGTCCTTATGCTGAAAGTCTTTCAAAGGCATTCTTCTCTTGAAACTATTTTACGGGGATTTCATGATAGTAATAGACCAATCTAAGGTTATTTGTTATTGTGCAGAGAGAAAGAAAGGCACAAGTTTTGAAATTACTTACAAATGAAAATCTGTGAAGAGTTTCATGAAGTTGCATTCAGCATTGTTTAAAAACCTGCCTTTGACATCCTGCACTAGAAAAAGCTGACAAACATAGATTTCCGCAGATTTATCTAGCTCTAGATTTCCAGCCTGGATATAGATGGACTTTGACTAGGCCATAATAATAAATCAGAATGGTTGGATCTAAACCTTTTAGCTCTGGAAGATGATAAGAGTCTATTTTAGCCTCTAACTATTGTAGGTTCCTTCCAGTATTAGGCTTAAAAGTAAAGTTGGAGTAAATATAATTGTAATTTACAGTGTTCAGATTTATATCTACTTTGGTTTTTAACATAACTAATGCTGAAAGTCTTAGAGGGTATGAATACCTTTGCAAGGCACTATGTATAATTGCAACAATTTTGTTTTAAACCCTGTCTTCCATCCTTGTGGGTTGTTGCCATATATATTCTTGCACATTTCCAAGCCATCAGTATGTTTGTGCTCTCCTGCTTGTTTTTTTTTCCGTTGTAGCCTCCTTCTGTCCCTGTGTTGGTCTCACCAGTGTGCACAGTCTCTAAGGACTCACTGATAAAAACTCATCCTCCACAAATGAAAGGTTCATCTCCCACGGAATCAGAGCTGATTGAAAGTGGCACATAATCAAATGAAAGGCCACACAACACTGGCTTTACTTTCCTTTCTGCTATTCGATGTACTTAAAGACGTCTACCTGTCAAAAAAGTCACACAAAGACATGTCCTCGATTCCTCCTCCTTCAATTGATTTTATTGTTTCTAGGTGTTTAGAAGCAGATGTAGTCCTCATCTTAGTTTACTTTTTAAACCTGTTCTGTATTGGAAAAACATATAACGAAAAGCTGAATGCTAAAGGTAAAAAAAATAAATCAGCAGGAGACAGTGAGAAAGTAGCAGATGAAAGAAAACCACATCTGCTATGATCCCGCTATGACTACGAAGCATTTCATCGTTATCTCTGTCATCTATGCTTGTCCAATTGCTTCCCTTTTTGTCCTGTGTGGTCCCCATCCTCTTTTCCTCCGCCTTGTCTTTGTGACTTGATGTTAGGTATTTGTGTTAGCAGCAGCAGCAGCAGATAGACCCCTCCCCGGTTTTGTCTCTGTATGGTGTCCTTCCTCTGAACCCTCACACCGAACAAAAACACCAGAGTGGAAATAAGATTCTGTAAAAGCCACACGCTTCCGTCAGGTGTTATTATTCGACAGTGCGGAATCATATCTGATGTTCTTTATGTGTGACTGTGTTTAGAGATGAAATATTATGTGATGTGAAAGAATACAGTCTGGCTTCCTCCCTCTTTACTCCTGCTTTCACTTGCTATTTAACCTTTTTTATTCAGCCTCAAATCTCTCTTTCACTCTCCTTCCTTTTATTTCTTCACACTCTTCTTCAAACATTGAGTCTTACATATTTAAAATTCATTCTGCTTAATTCTTTCAGGTTAAAACTATCACACGCTCCCTGTTCATCCTTCTCCTTCACACTGTTCCATTTAATTGCAGTCATCTAATGCTTATCGTCTCTCGTTTCCCCTCCACCCTTCTTTCTCTCCCGCTGCTTTTTCTCCAGGTATTGCTTCGTTCCAGTGCCTGGCGGATCAGGTCATTTGGAACCCACGGGGTCCTGACCTAAGTAACTGCACCTCCCCCTGGGTCAACCAGGTGGCACAGAAGGTGAGACCTGAAGCCACATCCCTGGTCAGGGGTCCGTCCCTTTCTTCTGCCCCTCTCACCTGGACACCTTTCCTGTCCACATGCAATATTACATTAACATATCTCCAAGGCTCTCCTGATTAAAATAGAGATCCTTTATTACAAGGCATGTGCTCATAATGCTTAATTAACTTCTTTTTTTGCCCACAAATATAATTAGATTCATGCTAGCCTGCAATTTTTTTTTTATATGACTACTGTCCAATTCCAGCAAAGACTGGCTTGTATTTTTATTTGTTTTCTTTGTGTGCCATTTCAAGCTTCGTTAAATAAAAATATGAAAATAACTAAGAAAAGAAGAGGAAAAAATTACATTACAAGAAAATAAACATTGTCTTTTTTAGGAGCGGTAATAGTACCAAAAATATTTCTGTTTCCTAAGAGCTAAACTAATGAAAGAGAGGATTTATTCAGATGTTTGTGGACATGTTCAAACTTTTACTAATTACAAATGTTCACTTTATCAATAACTTAACTAAGACTAGGGGTTTTTAAAAGTCCATTCAAATTGTAGCGTCTGATTTTAATTATAAATAACACCAGTGCAGACACTAAACATTAAAACCTTGTACTGATCCATGAACATTTAGACTTAGACCTGATCTTCAAAGAATCTAAATAAGAAGAGCATTTTTTTAGTATGTGCAATAACAGATTTTAACAGTTATATATAACAGACATATAACTGTTTGGCAGATGATCTGCAAAGATTGTTTTGCAAATATTATGACGTGCAAACTGAATTGTTCCTTTCCGTTAAAATTTGCGAATTACAGGCCTACAGGCTACAGTAAATGTTACGGAGGTAGTTAAAGGAAGATGATGCTCAAAGCAATGGAGATGAAGATGATAATTATCTAAACAATACAATGATAGGAAAATAAAAGCAGAATAAAAGCAAAAAAAGATAAAAACATGATAAAAGCAGGCAGTAAAACAAACAAAACAGATGAACCAGAAGCTTAAATGTAGCTTATCTCAAAGGGCTACGTACAAAAATGAAAACATCATGAAACATAATTGTGCTTCATTACATTTTATTACATTGAGGAAGGCAAATATCCCTGTTGTTAAGACATGCGCACACATACTCACCTCCATGTCTTTTTGCAGCCTCTTTTGCTTTTCAAAAACATGCTGTAATAGAAGTTCAGTCTTTCTTCAATTTGTGTTAAGTAATTCTTAGAGTTAACTTTTTTGGCCCTAATTTTGTGATTCCTAAAATAAAGGTTAATCACTTTGCATGGTTATTGGACTTACCATGTCCAAATTACACATTAAGTGATGTCGGGTTAGTAACCAACTTGATCTCATTTCTGGCTAGACCTACATATTGGCTTTCAAATGTATCTGATCTGTTATGACCAGCATTTAAAATACAAAATCATAGAAACACAGCCAATCATCTCACTGATGGTCTCCTTGCAGATCTTACCCACATGCAAATTTAATTAAATGTATAACCATTTCTTTGTCCGTGTTAGTCAAAGTTCAAGTTTTTTTTTGTTTTTTTAGATTTTTACATTACATTAATATCAAAATGTTATTTTAATATTATACATTATTTATTCCCTTTCAAGAAAAGTTTAATATTTTGATTATATAATGTTTAGATAAACAAAAATTATAACAGCAATAACACCATTAAGAGACTCAAAACCATATTTCACTGTAATTTCAAGGTCAGGCAATGATTAAAAACCCTTTCAGAGAGCATAGACTGAGGGCTCTGAGTCAACAGAAGAGGAGGAAGAGCAGACACTCTCCTCTGCTCCCTCCAATGCAGCAGCTGGGTTTTTCAGCAAGGTCTACTCTGACTGGCTTTCTCTGCACCGTACATACGCCAATCCAGACAGCAGATACCCTCTGTCGTGAAACCAGCCAGTCCCAAAACTTGCCAAAGCTTTCCACTTATATTAAGACCTCTCTTTCAAATCTTTTTTTGTTTTGTCCTCCTCCTCATTTCCCTTTGGGTCATTTATAGCCTGCCACCTTTTCATGCCAGCCATATGTCGCCACATTTTGTTTTAAAAATCCAAGAAAAGAGCCGTGCTTGCGTAACAAAACCATAGGTCATGTGATTGTTAAACAACACAACAACTGCTCTGTTTTTTGTGTTGTTCTGTTGGCTACATACTAAGTGGCAAGTAGATATACAGCTTCACCGGCAATTACAAAAGTTGCCCACATTTGATGCCTGATCTGTTTGCAATTTCATGTGCTGGGTTTAAGTGTATAAAGATCAGTGACGTGCGGTGAGGTTCATAGCTGGTGAGGCACTGACGTCATCAGAATCAGATTTGCAAATAGATGCATAGATTGACAGCAGTTTACAGGTTATGTTTCACTTCTGCATCCTTACACATACAAACTGTAGCTCACAAAACACACATTTCCTTAAAAAACAAAACAAAATAAATGTTATTACTGTCTTACCTTTACTTATAAATGAATAGAAGTCCTCCTTATCTTCCTTCAGTTTTAAAAGTCTCTCTGTCTCAATGGAGATCACTGCCAGGGAAGAAAGCCTTCCTTGATCCGTCCTGTTCCTGCCTTATGTTTTCAGTCTCTTGAGCACCCCCTGCCATGAGGCAAGAGAACTGCCTGCCTCACCTCGAACTTGTTCTCTGCCGTTTATAATCGCTCATTACACGAAACACGTTACACAAACACAGTTGGTGACAAAAAGCTCTGTACATTATATACATAAGCCAAATTATTAGAAATAAGTTCACATATTACATTTGTTTAAACCATTTTATTGACGCCGTACAGCAACATGCTCTCTCCGCTTTGCAGCCAGCGCAGAGCCAGGGGTTGCGCAATCCAAGGTGAGGCAGAGCTCGCTGCTGCCTCACCGGCATCGCTTCCAAGCATTTGAATGGGAAAATAAGAAAATTCAGCGATTTTGAACAAATAAAAATCGAAATTGGTGAAGCTACATGAAAAATGAATATTTTTTAGTACAAACCACCGGATGAATATAACAATTTAAATTACTTTATGATTATATATTTTCTTTCTTTCCATGATGGCTGGTGAGGCACTGCCTCACCTGCCTCCCCTGACCGCACGTCACTGATAAAGATCGTCTGCTGTTTTATGCTGCATTAATTTCAGCTAGCCTGAAGACACTTTTCTTTATTATCAATTTTCTACTATTGTTTATGATAAACAGGATATCTTTCCTCCTCTGGCACGATGCCTCCTTTGTGGCAACATTTTGCAGATATTGTAGGTTTGGTGTAGAGGCATCTGTTTGCACATGACTTTCAGAACTAAGAAAAAAAGATGCAAAACCAATTTTCTGATTAGGAAAACCAGTTTTGCACATGGTAAATGTTTACATTTGCATATCGTCCATCCATAAATTTGCACCATTTGGTCATTAGAATATGATCTGCATGAAGAGACACATGCAAAACATTGGTTGCACTCGCTGTCTGCTGAATTGCAAACACACATCACTTTGCACCTTCTTTGAAGATCTGCGTGTACAAACACCTTGGCACCTGTTTTAAGACATGCAAACCTTCTGAAGATCAGTCACTTAGTTGTTAATTTAATGTCTAAGCATTATATGTGCTGAAAGCAGCTATATTGGACTTTCTAGTTATTTTTCCATGTGCACTGCTGATGGATCTCCCTGAATCCTTTGTTAGGTATATGTGTGTGCTTTGAAGGATAAACAGCATCACCTTTACAAGAACTGCCATTGGAAGAATCTATTATACCATCTCTTTTTAGCTAAAATCAATTGCAATTGCAGTGTGTTTGCAAAGGCTGCAATTTGCAAGTGAAAAAGACCCAACGATAATAAAAACTTCATGGTGTGTACTGCAAGGTCTGCCGTTATTTACAAGGATACAAAAACACCTAATATTAGAGGGAAGCTTGTGTGTGTTATTTGCAAATAAATCTGTCTCTTTCTTTTACGCAGATAAAGAGTGGAGAGAACGCTCCCAACATAGCCAGTGAGCTAGTGAACCACACGAGGGGACGAATCCAAGCCGGTGATATTAGTTCGACTGTCCGGCTGATTGAGCAGCTGCTGGATATACTGGATGCCCAGCTGCAAGCCCTTAAGCCCAGGAATAAAGAGTCAGCAGGGCGAAACTACAATAAGGTAATAGAAATTGTAATTAAACTCATGCATTCTGGATGCATGTATCAAAAATTAGAAAGCAAAGATCAAGTTAATCAAACTGTATTCTTTCGCTATAGGCTGTTAGTTTATTTGTTATCTTCTCTTTGTTCAGTTTAACAAAACCCAGCTTTGTTTTTTTCCCTCCAGTTCCAGAAGCGAGAGCAGAATTGTCGAGCATATATCCAGGTAGATTTTTCTTTTATGCCTGTCTTCTTTACATACCCAGAATAAAGCTCTTCTCTGAATTTTTATATAGACAAGTTACATTCTGGTGCAGACAAGTTTGTGTGAATGAAATTCCCCAGGCTCAGTGTTATGAATAATCTTTGTTTTGTTTAGATTTCTGTTTACTGTTAAAACAGTTATTCTTTCTGGAGTCTTGACTATTATTTCCACCAACTCATAGCAAGGCGAAGTGAATAGAAAAAATATGCAACAAATATGTGTCTATAAAATCAACATTATTATAATGTATCGATCTCTGAATGTAGCCTGACAGGCAGGTAACAAAACCACACTTATCAAATAATAGAGTGACAATTGCTTGAGCACATCACTAAAACGGTCAGTCTTAATTGTGCCTCCTATTGACAGATTATAAACAGGATAATCTTTTGAAAATCTAAGATGATCCAAGTGCCATACATTTAGTCTTCTCAGTTTTAATCAAATAGTTCAATAATCTAATACTAATCTAGTTTTCTGGTTGAATCATTGCATGCAGGACAATAGTGTCATGCTTAAAAATAAAATGGAAATTTTTTGTGAAAACAAAAACAGTGGTCCAAGACGTCTACCTTGTGTCACTTCTCACTACAGAGGCTTTATTGCAAAATTACTACCATTAAATAGCACAATAAAATCTAGATTCTTTAAAGCTACAGTGTGTAACTTTTAGCGACATGTAGCGGTCAGACTGCAGACTGCAGCAACATGAACATCTCCCCCCAACAGTACGGCGAGCGTTACGGGACAAAATGTCTTCCACGACGTCCGCATCACCTACCTTCTCTAGTGATGAGGTTTGTTTACATAGATAATTTTACAGATAGTATTTCATTAGTCTGTGTAGGGTATATATTTCCTGTAGACTTAAGATAATAAATATACCCGTTATTTTCTCTACATCGTTGTGACGTTATCACTAGTTTGTTGGCTCTGCGCTGCCGTAGCGCAAAGATGTCTGCCTCCATGGCTGCGAGACCCTCTCCTATGTAATTATAAATAACGAATTCTAAGGCAACGCAAATATTAAGGTTAAGAGGCTGAGCTCGTAGATGATGATAAATAACATAGTTATGTATAATATATTACATTTCTGACTGTATATCCCTGTAATTCTTACACACTGTAGCTTTAAATAACTTTTAATCAATTAATTGCAGAATGTTCAAAATGATACAACAAGATCTTTCCAGCAGTAAATTGTAATCAAGTACATTAAAAGCTGCACTCGACTTTAGCAATACAGTCCGGATTAATCTCCTGTTTTGTATTACTTATCCAGTCATCTGAGCTAAAGCTGTTGTTTAAGTGCCCTTGAAATGGAGGTTTAAAAATGATTTTACTGAATCCCGATATTGGAAAAATATACAAATTATTGTACCTTGTATTCTCTATAGTAAACTGAATCTTAAGTCTACAACAAACATTCAAATTAGCTCATTTAAATCCTTTATTTGAGAATATGGTATCCATCACTGTTATATATTTACTATGTAAGTAAAATTTATTTATAAATGATCTTTTTAGAGATGAAATTGCAAAGTGCTGTACATAAAACAAATAAAACACATTTGAATAAATTAAATGCGGTCAATGTATAAGTAAGTTTAAGTATAAAACCCACTATGCAAAGTTTTTTTTTTTTTTTTTTTTTTTCAAAATGTGACTTTTATCCAAAGAACTTTTAGATCTAGAACAATTAAATGGGAAAAAATACACCAGATAATCAAAAGACAAATACACAAACCTATATATTTGTAAAAAAAAAAAAAAAAAAAAAACTTTTACCTTCACTTCAAAAACAAAATAAGTTGAACAGCCACCTCAGACCTAATTTTAATAAGAACTTTGTGGTCATCACTTTATAAATCAGTCACTGTCCTGACTTTTGAATCATCACTTACACATTCTGGTTTATGCTGAAGGACAAACAACCTTCACTCTAATTAACATGAATCAGTTTACAGCTTTTATTTGCCAGTGGTGAATTTTGTTTTGTATATCTGTGAACTGGTGTCACTTAATAAAGATATCGTATTGGCCTGCAGCATAATCTTGCCGCAGTGTGGTAGAGTTTATAGTGTATGTTTAATATCAGCCTCAGCCCCATTATATTGCACAATAAGGTACAATACCTGTTGCCTAGAGAAATCTAATTTGACCACAGTATAAAAAGCAACAGTTTGTCTTATGACACCCTTCTGCCCGTTTTCAATATGTATGCAATATCTCTGGCTTTGGGAAAGCTCTTATCTAATATCAAGAAAATGGTTTTGTGTATGCTTCTTTGTAATGATAAAATGCAGCACTCTGCAGCACCCAGTCTTTTATTTTCTATGACCTCTCTGCTTCCTGTTGTAATTTGACCCCACGTCTTTTGATCTCCGTTTCTGCAGGATGAATGCAAAGCATGCAGCTTGGAATGTTACCGGGCTATTACTTTCTGTCACTTTCTGCAGGGTAGCTTTGTATAATAACCACTGAACCAAGGATATCATACAAACACCCTCAGCCATTTTCTTCTTCTGGGAATGAAGTGCATTCTGATGCTCAATTCATTCTCTTAACAGCAATGCTCTTTATTCTGCACGGCAGTCTATCCTTCATTTTTGAGAGGTCTGAGCAAGAGAATTACATGATTCATCAAGCAGGCTACTCCAATAAATTGAATAGCTGATACAACCATCAAAATTGCCATTAAATGAATTGTAAGTGTGAAATAGAATGGTAATATGTCTGACATAGCATAATAACAAATGAATTGCAGGAGAGTTGAAAGCTTCTTGGAAATAATTACCAGTAAACGTGTAAGTTGAATATCTTATCAAACATGTTTGCACTGCATCGCATTGTACACAATATTAATCATTACAAACACAGTATAAGCAAATTTAGGAGCAAATTGGTAATTAATGATCACTAATTAACAGCTAATAGCACTTCCTGAGAACGGTGTTAAGCTGTAAAAAGGTGTTAATGAGTGACTATCTGTTGATTAGTCATCCATAACCAGGTGTAGTCGGTATTGGAAGCTAAATGTTGCAAAACCAACAACTGAAAAGTAATAACTATTTTTATGTGATTTCAGATCACCATTTATTCTAAGCCTGAATTACGGTACCACATTTTTTAAAAGCATTTTTATCATTTTCTAAATTAAATACATAAAAATATACTTTATTTTTTATTGTTAACACCTTTTTTTTTTAAATCTTAATAACAAAATTAATTTTTAAACGAAACAATAATGTTCACAAAAGCAGAGCCAAGGTCACTTAGTTATCTCCCTCTAAGTAACTATACATCTACAGATTCCCCCCAAATAGGACAAGTGGGAAAGCTGTTTAAATTCAAAATAAGTGGCTCTAAATTATTAAACAGGTATTACATTATTTTAAAACCAAAGGGAACTTTTTACCATAAGTGTGAGAAAGCAGTTAATATTACAGAGCTCCGTTACATGTTTGCATAACTTATTTTAAACAAAGACCAAAGTAGAGATGCTATTTTAATTAATTTAATGTTTTCATTTAAAAAATCTTTATCATTTTATATTAGCATATAGCACAATGTTTACAAGTTGCACGGCAAATCACACTATATAGATCTGTGTCTGTCTGTGTTCACTGCAGAGTTAAAGCCCATTTATTTCATCTTTTTGCTTTCAGTCTCAGCAGAAGGTTTCAGACATTGGTAATAATGGAAGAAGTTACAGCACTGTACATTTCCTAAAAAGAAACAATTGAGTTAGCATAGGTGGTTGAACAACACATACAGTATTTATTGTAGAATTTTGCTGGACGAGTCACTTTCCACTTCAATTTTCTTTTTCCGATCTTTTGTCGTCTATTCTGTGGAACGTAGCCCCTTGTGATTAAAGTTTGTATTTCTCCTTTTGTTTTGTTTGGATACCCATCTGCAGGCTCCTTCGTGATGGGCTAAAATACCCATGAAAGGAATGCAGAAGACGGACAAAAGGCCCTTTCTTTGTGCTTATGCACATTAAATGGATGGGCTCTTAGTGATGCTTACCTTAGCTGTGAGATTCCCAAGGAGTTTCAGATGACAGATAAAACTGAACTGTTCAAAAGGATAAAATTGAGCAACATTTAGTTATCGGTTATTTATAGACCTCTATCTTTATACAGTATTATGGCAGATTTAATAAACTTTTAAGATGCATCAAGAGAAAAATGTAGTTTTCTTTATAGATCCTTTTTTTTAAGATTCTACATCCTCTGCCTTCAATGTTAATCTCACGACTGATACTTAATTTAGCTGCTCTTCAAAGGACTTAATGCTAAGAAATGTACCTTATAGTGGGTTTGCATGATTCTACTGTCCTCAGGGCAAAGTCCTACAGTAAATCTAAATCTTGACTTTTTTCATTTATCACATTAGAGAACTTAAGACTTCTCTATTTTTGAAATGTTTCTGCTTCTTTATGCCTCAGGCGGTTGTTCAGACAGTAGACAACCTACTGCGTCCTGAGGCCCTGGACTCTTGGCAAGATATGAACAGCACTGAGCAGGCTCACACTGCAACCATGCTCCTGGACGTCCTGGAAAAAGGAGCTTTCCTCCTGGCTAACAACATGTACGGGAATCGCTTCTCTGACCGAGCCCCCAGCGTTGGTGAGAAAACACGCATTAGGACACAATAGACCACAAACCTCTGAGTGAAGCTCTGCGTCGGGTTTATGGCTCTCTGTTTTTACAACCAGATCTGGAGGTTCACGTTGTCAACACAGAGATGGACCTGCAGGATTTATCTTTCCCACAGAATTACGCTAGTGACAGCACCATCCAGCTTTCAGCCTCCACCATCAAGCAATACAGTCGGAATGGTCAGCAGACTTCACTCCCCTTCTCGGTCACCCCTACATCTGAAAAATGGCACAGTTCTTAGCATCTCACTCTGGTTATGTTTTCATTTGCATTTTTTTGCAATCTTAAAACAATCTGCATGCAGTTGACTTAGTCATTGGTTCATAATAACAGCCTAATCAGATTAACAAAAGCGCTGAGACAATTTCTTTTCTTGATGGTTTCTTAACAGCAGTCTTAATAGAATAGCTGGGGAGGCGTGTAGATTACAATCGGCCCCAGCCTGGCACAGCTATCTCAGCACTCTCTCTTGTTTCTTTTCCTCATTCCCGCGCTTAGTCTTTCCACCATCTTATCCCCATGTCACATCTCTCTTGTTCCCAACCCCCCATCATCCTTTCGTGCTCCCCTCCTCTTTCAGTGGCCCCCTCATCCCTACCCTCCCTCTGTTTTCTGCCTCTGCTGGGCTCTGCAGTGGGAACGAGATTAGAATGATTGAAACAAACCCACATGAAATATTCATATGGAATAATAAGAGATCTGTGAATGCTTGAGGGATGAATGTTCCATTGCCCTCCACATTAAATCTCGCTCTCTTGCACCAGTCAAAATGAAACGGTCCTTACCATCATTCTAACCTTCACTAACTCCCTCTCTCCATCTCCCTTTCACTCACTCTGTCACTCTCCTCTCTCCATCTCTGCCATTTCTGCTGCTGTTTCCACATTATGTCCTCATTTCTCTATTTTACTCCTGTCTCCCTCCTCCTTCATGCTTTTGTGTATCTCCCCTTTTAGATTAACAACTGCCTGTTTTCACACCTTAATATTGATTTGTACTGTCTCATCTTATCTTTTGCAGGGCAAGTAAAAGTGGTTTTCATTCTGTACAAAAATTTGGGGTCTTTCTTGTCCACTGAGAATGCTACAGTTAAGATAGAAATGGAGGGACCGAGCTATGAAAGGAAGCGCCTGGCGGTTAACTCTCATGTAATCGCTGCCTCCATCAACAAAGAATCCAGCAGAGTGTTTCTCACTCAGCCGGTGATCTTCACTCTCAAACATCTCCAGGTATTTTTATTTTTTTTTGGCTCATATTATCATGTTTTTTCCTGACCCCAATTAACTCATAAAAAAAATGCTGTTCTCAAATTATGATTTAACATATGAAGGAATAAAGTTTCCTAAACCAACCTGAACCAACATGGTAAAGTATTCACTCCTTAATTATTAACTGTCAATTCACACATCCAGGCCTGATTGCCATTAGATCTGAAGAACCAAGAAATAAATCAAATAGAACCTGTCAAACAATATAAAGTAGGCTTGACAACAATCATTGAAAGCAGAATATCATACAAGTATCTAAGAAAATAGAGAATAGAAAATACAAAAAATTACACTTGCCATTTAAATTCAACTAGGGGCAGGAATTTTTAAGCGAACACACATACATGTTCGTTCTTTTTTATGCTATGGGGTGATAAAGCTATCTCTCTGCCTTGACTGGCCCTTGTGCTGCATATTACGCTGCAATTTGGGTTTGGAATCTCCTGATCAGTCCTATCGATGTACGTAAATTGATGCTGCAGGAAGTCACAGTGTTAGTAGAAGATTTGCTTGACCTGGTGCTTGTTGCTGTGATTGAATATGTGCAGAGGTCTTGTAGTAAACCATCAAACAGTTAACAGCGTTACACTATTACAAGTGCAGTGCTGTGAATACAGCCTTTCCACGTTTCTGTGCGCTGCTCTGCCACCTTGGCTGGTGGTTGCACTTACCCGCAACGCCAGTCGGGTCAGTCGTCAGTCTCATTCCCTCATCCTGCCTCTAGTTCCTTTAAAATAATTCCTACAAAATCTCATAGCTGCAGAAAATTATTGGGAGCTCTGTTGGCATCATTTAGCTGAGTTAAGATCAGTTTTAGTGAGTCAAAAATAAGAAAGATACTATAAAAAAATTTTATCCATGGGAAAGTTCCAGAGCAAAGAATAAAACTTTTGACCAGAAGAACACAAAGACCCATTTCACGTTTGTCAAAAACATCTTAATGATCCGACAGACTTTTTTTTGTAATATTCTATTTACACACAAGACCACAAAGCCTTTATATCTGCCATAAATATAACACATTATTTGAGAAATCAAACATCAGACCTAGAATAGAGCATGAATATATGATATTAATGGATGATTACTGAAGTTTCTATCTGAACTCCAGAGGGAAAGTGTCCATCCTGTAGAATGTGACCTTAAGCCACACTCAAGTTACTCAGCATTAAAATAATCCCAAGCATCAACTGTCTCTCTTTTCTGCAGAATAAGAATTATTACACTCCAAATTGTTCGTTTTGGAACTACTCTGAGCGCTCCATGACCGGCCAGTGGTCTTCGCAGGGCTGCAGGCTGCTGGACACCAACAGCACACACACCACATGCTCCTGCAGCCACCTCACCAACTTCGCCGTGCTCATGGCTCACCACGAGGCGGATGTAAGAAAAAAGGGCGTGGCAAGCAGACACACATTTAAAATGGAAGTGGGCTAATTTATGCTCACATTCATTCGCGTGAGCATTAGCACTCACGCAGTCACACACCCTCACACACATGCACAATAATGTTCCCTTCTCGAGGCTGACAAGCTCTTTGTTTTGAATTTTCTCTTTTCCTTCTTTCACGCTGACATTCAGGGAGGCAACAGCTTACAAATTCATGTCCCACTACTTCTAGCTGACATTCACATGAATTTAAATGTCATGTTTTTTTTTCAGAATGCCTTGTCTCTTGTCTTCACATTTTAGCTCTGTGCATATATTTACAAATATTAAATAAGGCAATTTGGCTCTTTCGATCCCCACCCTCTTTTTCCATCCATCCCTCTTTTGTTTCTGCTGCTCATCTTCTGTCCCACTATTCTCCTTCCACCATGTTCTAATTTTGTCTCAGTTTTTACTTGTAATGGGCGAATTGTGTATTTCTAGCCCCTCCTCTCTTGCGCTCCTCGTTTCTTACACCTGTTTTTTTTCTCTCCATTGTTTAATCCACCAGGGCCGGATGCACGAACTGATCCTGTTCGTGATCACCTGGGTGGGCATCGTCATCTCCCTGGTGTGTCTGGCCATCTGCATCTCCACTTTCTGCTTCCTGCGGGGTCTGCAGACTGACCGCAACACAATCCACAAGAACCTCTGCATCAACCTCTTTATCGCTGAGCTGCTCTTCCTCATCGGTATTGACAAAACGGAATATCATGTGAGTTTTTATCCACAGAGCCTACTCTAATACCTGCTCTTTTTCCCTTTTCGACTCATATTTGAGCTTTTTTCCTTTTTTGGTAATTTAATAAGATTTTACATGTCCTTTTTGTATTATGAAGCCTCCTTTAAAACTCAATTTACTCACTTATATGCAGTAAATTAGATGGAGTCAAAAGGTCAGGTTAGCTTCTATGCATAACTAACTTGAGAATGACATTTACAGAACTTCATATATATATATATATATATTTTTTTTTTTTTTTTTTTTTTTTACTGTTCAACTGAAATTGAGGCATTGTATCATTAATTTACTCTATAAAACCTTTACTAGACAAGGTAATGCATTACTCTTCAATAAAATACACAGAACTTATCACCCTGGGGCAGCTTTTCATTTGTTCCTCCTTTTTTTGTTTAGTACCTGATAGTGACCCTGTTCTGTTCTCTCCTGAATTTCACTTGTTAAAATGCCTTACTCTTAATGATTCCCCCTTCTTTGTCCTATTTTTCTAATTCGTCTCCTCTTCTGTCGTCCCTCCTCCTTACCGCTGCCCTCAGATCGTCTGTCCCATCTTTGCAGGCCTTCTCCATTTTTTCTTCTTGGCTGCCTTCTCCTGGATGTGTCTGGAAGGCGTGCAACTCTATCTCATGCTCGTGGAGGTCTTTGAGAGCGAGTACTCACGCAAAAAGTACTACTATCTGTGCGGCTACTGCTTCCCCGCGCTGGTGGTGGGCATCTCAGCAGCCATAGACTACAGGAGCTATGGGACCAAAAAAGCGTATGTGTGAAGACAGGCCTTTTGCACCTGCAGATTGAGAAGTAGGATTATGTTATTCCCCCAGCTGGGAATGTAATATGCAGTGCTGTGTGAGTGGCTCTCGTGCCTCCCCACTGACTGGGTTTTCTGAGCACACTTAGCTGAAGCCCGATGATTAGCCTTTATAACATAATCCGCTGAGACAGGGATGTAATGTTCGTATGCCTGCCTGTGTGTGTTTGTGTGTGCATGTGACTCACTGTGTCTGTATATTTGTTCCTGGGCTTAGCTACATTTAACTCTCTCCTCTTTGCCACTCCAGATGCTGGCTAAGAGTGGATAACTACTTCATCTGGAGCTTCATTGGACCTGTGTCATTTGTCATTATGGTATAAGCTTGTCAAACACTATACTTTTCATCTTACTTTTTTTTTTTTATCAAGAGTACTCATACAGAATTCCTTCATTTTGGAAATTTCTTTACAAAATTTGTTAACTTCTTTCATCTTCTCACTGTAGCTCAACCTCATTTTCCTCATGATCACTCTCCATAAGATGATTCGCAATTCTTCAGCACTCAAGCCAGATTCAAGTCGCCTGGATAACATCAAGTAAGTTCTATTTTCTGACCTTATTTATTGAATACACCAAACTGTGATCTGAGCTTTTATGTTCTGATATCTGTCTGATTCCCTCAGGTCATGGGCTCTTGGGGCCATTGCGCTGCTGTTCTTGCTTGGGCTAACATGGGCCTTTGGCCTCCTCTTTATCAATGAGAACACGGTGATCATGGCCTACCTGTTCACCACTTTCAATGCCTTCCAGGGAATGTTCATCTTCATCTTCCACTGTGCACTGCAAAAGAAGGTAACAATAAAACTCACCTTGGAAAAGTATTCCAAAAACATTTTATACCCTAATCCAACGCATATGGATTTCAAATATTTTGCAGGATATATATCTTAAACATGTGTATCAGTGAGACCACTGGGGGTATATAGGTCCTCTATTCAACTTTTAGTGGCTGAATCCCCTTACTGTACATCATACCATCTACTACAGGGGTGGGCAATTCCAGTTCCTGAGGGCCGGTATCCTGCAACTTTTAAAGGTGCCTTTGGTTCAACACACCTGAATCAAGTAATTAGATGATTGAGGTGACTAGAGAAACTGACTGCATACTGAGGAGTTATATCAACCATTTGATTAAGTTGTGTTGGACCAAGTATGAATCTAAAAGTTGCAGGAGACCAGCCCCCAAGAACTTGAATTATCCAGCCCTGATCTACTAGGTTCAAACAAGTGGTGGCAGCACCATGCTATGTTGGTTTTCTTAAGCAAATGCATAGATCCTAGACAAATTAGAAAAAAAAAAATGATTGAGGGCCAATCATTTCGGCTTTCAACACCATCATCCCACAGCATCTGATAGGAAAACCGAAAAATCTGGGCTTCGTTACCCTTTGCAATCCGCTGCTAGACTTCCTTACCAGCAGGCCTCAGTCAGTTCGCGTTGGACAGAACACCAAAGATGTCATCACCCTGATCCTCAGGGTAATGACATCTGATCATCGTCAACTTCAGGAAGAACCGCCCTAACCACCCAGAACTGCTCATCAACAGCTCAGCTGTAACGGGGGTCAGCAACACCAAATTCCTTGGAGTGCACATCACAGACAACCTCACCTGGACTGTAAACATTGCCTCAGTGGTCAAAAAGGCACATAAGTGGTTGTACTTCCTGCGTAGGATGGGGAGAGCCTACATGCCCCTGCCCATCTTCACGACTTCAAAAGCACCATAGAGAGCGTTCTGACCAGCTGTTTCACCGTGTGGTGTGAAGGCTGCAGCGCCTCAGACTGGAAGAATGTCAGAAGAGTGGTGAGAACAGCAGAGAGGATCCTCTCTTCCCACCATTAAAGATATTTCATCCCAGAGCTGGGTGTCCCAAGCCCGTAACACTATCAGCAACCCCTCACACCACCACCATGGACCGTTCTCCTTGCTGCTCTCTGGAAAGAGGCTTGCGATTCAGGAACAGCAGGTTCTGCAACCGCTTTTTCCCCGCTGATCACTGCTGCACTTCTCTAGCTTTGTTTTTATTGTCATTCAACTGTCACAAGAACAAAGCAGCGAAATATACTCCCTGTATTTAACCCATTCCATTGGGGAGCAATATGGGGTTAAGAGTCTTTGCTCACAGTGGCAGTCCGTGGGAGTGGGGCTTGAACTCAGAACCTCAGGATTCCAAGCTCTATGCCCTAACCACTTGGCCGCCACTCCCGCCACTTTATAAATGGAAATGTTAATTTCACTGCAGTAAGCTGCTCAGTCACTGCTGAAAAGCTGTATGCATAGATATTTCATTTTGTATTCATGACAAAAATTACAAAAAAGTTTGTCTAAGTCTAGTGAAATCCATAACTTTGATGTACTTTGTGTGGGTCTATCAGATAGCTATAAATCCAATAGAGGTATTCGGCCATTATTTAACAATGATTGCTTTTAGAGCTTGAAATGACCGAGCATTTTGATTACATGACAAAAATGTTAACATGCAAAATAAGTCAGAGAAAAAACACCTATTTAATAGTTTTTTTTAATTTTGGTTAGCACAGTGTTGTATCCTTTGTGTCATACCATCCAGCCAAAGAATAGATAACACCAATGCACTGTAATTAATATTATTTAGAAAAAAAACATGAATTCCAAGGGAATGATTTAATAAGATCCCCCATAGATGTTCAGATATATTGCATTTAGTAAATTTTTCTGTGGCTGTGGAATGAAATGCTGCACTGATCTGCATTGAGATCAGTCTATTGAAACTGCAAGTCTGTTTATGGATCATTCTTTAAACTCAATCACCCTGCTTCTTTTTGCAGGTCCATAAGGAGTACAGTAAATGTCTGCGTCACTCCTACTGCTGCAGCCGCTCTTCCACCAACAGCTCCCACGGTTCCCTGAAGAACTCGGGCCTCCGTGCCAACAACCGCTACTACACCGGCAGCCAAGCTCGCCATGCAGCTGTCCACAGACAGGTGCGGATAAGACACATCAACTCACAAAGTCACAAGGACACACGTCTTTACACATCTTTGGAATAATCAAATTGTGCTGCTCTCTGAGAATAGGAAATATGTCTTTGCTGCAAGATGGTTGCACTTGTACTAAGCTTTTTTTTTCTTTTGAAGTTTTTGAAAAGAAAAATATTTTGTAATACAATAACTTTTCTGTATAGTCCTTGGCTATTTATAAAAAGGATGAAAGTATTGTTATATAAGACTTGGATGTAAAAACATGTGATATGAATGGAGGTTTGTACTTAACAGAGCAAAATTGACTTTTTCAGTTACTACTGAACTCGAAAAAGGTACAAACATTTTAAATTAATAACCAGTAATGTTGTTTTTTTGTCTCTTAGAGACCGACAGAGTTACATCATGATTTACAGCATTATAAATAAACAATGCAGCCTGATCACCTGCATATACGCAGCTTGTTTTGAAAGTTTCACTGTTACCTTAGAGCAGAGTGTTGGCAGATTGGTGCTTTGCAGGAGAGATGACTCATTTATAAATATATCTTATGAAGCTTATTTATTTATATAGATGCAGGAACCAGTGCAGAGGATACAGAGAAGTGCTGCTCATGCTGTGATATGTGGATTGGCAGAGACATATGAGACACAAACAAGTAGTCTTTACAATCAACAAACAAGCGTTTCCAAAATGTAATAACATGCAACAATTGTATCAGCGACTGCAATCACATCTTGCACATCGTAAGCTCATTAACCCTCCATGATAATGTGGCAAAGATGCACGCCTCTTTACCCCAAGCCCAAATCTCTTTTGTCTGACATGCTTGTCTATTGTTCTTTGTGGATCAGGGAGCCTCCTAGTTCTGATTACAGCTGCAACATTGATTTATGAAATCCGTACACGACATATGCACATTATACGCTGTGGGGACATATGGAGACAGAATGGAAAACATTTGTCTGCAGATGTAGTTTTTTTTCTTTATTATCACATTTAAATATTTTTGAATTAGAGTTTTCGTACCATAGAGTGAATACCTGAGTAAACACTGCAGCTGGTTTTCAAATGATGATTTAATTTAAAGAGAGAAAAAATATCCAAAGCAATCTGAACTTACGTGAAAAGGTAATTTAACCTAAACCTTATAAATGTTTGTTACCCTTGGCAGCAAGGATTTATGAAAGCTGGCAATGAGTCAGTCAGACAGGTTCTATGTGGGGGATTTCTTGATTTCACATGTGAGGTAGTAAGTGTTGCATACTGTAGGATAAAAATTAAATAAAAAAAAAATAATCAGATTATTAACAGATTATTCATGATTTAATAAAATTGGGGATTACATTTTTTTTAGTTGAGACCGGGAGGTTTATAAAGCTTAAAAAATAAATAAATTGAAAGCATATTTGAAAAATTAGTTATGCTTCTTACTCTGTTTATCATTGTCTGATATTAACACTTGTTTTATGATCTGAAACATGTAAGTGTCACAAATGCATGTGTCAGCTGCCACTCACAGCACTATGCTTTTCCTCCAGAGTCGGATCCGTAGGATGTGGAACGACACGGTTCGAAAGCAGACAGAATCTTCATTCATGGCAGGAGATATAAACAGCACCCCAACACTCAATCGTGGTGAGACCCTCACTCTGTCACTGCTTTCTTTATTTGAATTATTGGCACTAAAATTCTTCTTAGTACATATACATTAAAGTGGAACAAACCAAACAAGCAATTACTAGAGAGGGTTCAGCAAAGAACATAGTAACTCATGGTAAATATGCTGAAGCTGCTGTATGAAGGATGATGAAATGTGTACTCATGTTTTTGCAGAGTTCCTGAAAGGCTATTTGGTGATGCAATTTGCAAATTGTGGGCATTAGCAGCAAAAGCTTAAACAGTCGGTCAAAGTCTTCCTCTTGAATGGTGCGCTTCAGTTTGCAGCCAGCTGTGTTTAACTTAGAGGTGAAGTTCGCTGTAGCAACAATTCAGTAAAGGCCTGAAGCAACCGCTGAGATATATGGAGCTCGGCTGCCTTCTTTTATTTAGCTTTTCCATCTGTTTATCTTGATTTCTCAGGTCTTGTTTGAATGGTTTTGACATACTTTAAGCTAAATGCAATAATGCAGCTTTTTTTTCTTTCAAAGGCATAGTGAATTATTTGACTTATGATGTCTGTATTCCTTCCTGATGTGCCTTTTATGGTGCATTCACATAGGAGGTGGTAGCAATGGCCCTAGTGGTGAATTCACATAGTATTCCTATACAAACAGTGAGGTGAAGGATGGTGAAGTGGCCAGCGGTGAACTCCGCACAGTTTTTCTCTGGGATTATTAAAGTATTTCTGATTCTGAAGAGCGTTCACTGCTCCGCTCTCACCTTGTGTTGCTAGAAAGAACTGAGGTGCTGTCAAACAGCAGCACCACATGGAGAGAACAGAGCAGTGATCGTGAATTTGAAACGAGCTGAACTATTTAATGAAATTGCGACCCCGCAGCCAATCAGGGACAGGTTGTAGGCAAAGCTATTTCACTTCAAATAGAATGCAGAGAAAATAATGTTAAAAATGGTAGCAATAAGAAAGAAAAAGAATAATTATTTTAAATTAATTTAATCCTAGAAGGATTGTTAATTGTCTTCACTCACCTCCAGCACAGAGCGCGGTCTGTCACTGCCCATTGCCTAGCATTGGTGCTTTCCACGGGGTTAGATTTATAAGGAAGTCCTGCTAAATCCTACCGAAACAGAGCTCCATTTGAAGGAATCTAAGCAAACTATTTCCTTTGAAACTTAAAAAAAAAATGATGGTTTTCCTAAGGCGAATGAAAAGTTGTTCATAGAGAACAATTTTGCAGCATTCTGTGTTGTTAAGTTTCATCTGTGCTTTTATTGTGAAATGCCAACAGCGAGACCTTGACAGGAAATGACATAGGGTTGCCAGGGGTAATGGTAGGGCCAAAGCAAAAGGTCTGTGAGACTGGTGATTTACAAAATATTAAACAATCATTCCTGGCTCTAAATCATGCTGTAAACATACCCATTGTTATATTCAAGGCCAGCACAGGAATGACATGTCATACTATGCAATAACTTTATATGAGGAAAGGAGCACAGCACTAATGTCTGCTGGGATGGTGATGTCATTGGCCGTAATAAAAAAATGATTATATCTTAAAAACCAAATCAGCACAAACAATAGGTTTACCGCAAGTCAAGTACCACTGGAAAAGTAGGCTAGAGCTTAATGGGGGGATAGTTGACTTCTGGATGACCGGAAAAATAATCTTTACATCTCTGAAACAACATCAACTCATATGATCTTCTGTTTTTTCTTTTTGAATTTTACAACTAACCATTTTAAATGCACAAACCTGCACTAATGAAGCAATAACCACTTATTCTATGCTCACATTTAAACTCCTCTGATAGTTGGCACATTAGCAAAAGCTTTAACGCATCTTTGCAGGAACTTGTCAATAGGTATGAATCAAATGATGTCAAAGGACCTGCGTGAATATATGTATAACTAAACTTTAGCAGCAGATACGTGAGGTGTTAAGCTGAGGATCCACTCACCTTTTCAGTTGTTTAATACACATAATGAATCAGCCACTCACTTGGCAGCAATTTAAAACATTAAGGCTTTCTGATGTGATAAAAATTACTTTCTGCGGTTAAAAAAGGTTTGTTTTTCAGAAACATTTGATATACTGATATTATCACTTATGCCTTATATTGTACCAAGGATACTATTTATATGGGTACAGTATAATTTGACAATAACAGATTGGAAACCCCCAAACAGAGCATAGACATGGTTGCATCCCATTTAGGCTTGTTTTGTATATGCTATAACCTGTATGACTGAGATTTTGCACAAATAAATTTGGGCTGATAGGGTTTGCATTTGAAATAAGCAATATAAAAGCATGGATGCTCCCTCCCCCACCCTCTATCAACAGTTCAGACTTGTGTAAACGTAATGAGGATATTTTCTTCAGCAAACTTTGCAAATCAAGTAAAAAATAGTTAACATCTACCAGAAACTGTTGTAAACCTCTCTTCAAAGCATCTTCCATTGGTACAGATTTTTTTAAAGCAGCTTAAAAAGACACAAAAACATCGGCATCCCTGATTATCTCATTATTTGCAAATGGTAGTGTCATTGCGGCTGCAATCAGCGACACCGAGATGATCTAGGTTTGCTCAGGTTCCAGACACTTTTTTTTTAAGGTGAGGAGGGTCGGTGTTGATGATGACACTGAGGCAGTTGCTAAATCAGCCATCACTCTCTATGCTAATTTCATCCATTTTGTTTTTAATGAACTGATTAGCGTGTGAGCGAACAGGGGGTAATTATTCTAATTGAGGAGAGAGACAGGAGCAAGGCAGGGGGTGAGGATGAGGTGTGCTGCAAGTGAGCTGGATAGATGAGAGGTGTCTATGTCAGTCTGTCTTTGTGTGACTCGATTTGTCGGTTTCTGGAGGTTTTTATCGGGATAGAGCAATCACTAAACCTGGAGAGACATGTATGTGATTCACTTCATGATGTGCTGTCAAGCCCAAACAAATGAGCTGTGAAGCCTTTATTTTCCACGCAACTGAGAGAAGTTTGGCAGAAAGTTAAAGACGAAGGAATCCGAGGAGACATGTTTAAAGTAAGACACTATTATGGAGAAATAATTACAGGGCTTAGTCTGGAGGAGAGATGTATTATCACTGCCATCTAAGATCCATTTGATTTTTCCTATTCACTTCCATATGTACCAGAGTCTGTTCCTGGCAATAGTAATCTGTCCAGAATAAAGCAATGTGTTATACACATACTTGGAGATTCCCATGCTTCCCGTTGCCCTACTTTTCTCTACACTTTGAGCTAGTTCTTTAATTCTCTACAAGATATTCCCATAAGGAGGTACATACAGACAGCTTATCGCAACTAATTTGGTGATGCTTGAAAAAATCCTGGCACAGGGAACTGAGAAAAAAGTTGGTGGATTTATCACAGCATCGCAAGCCAGAGAATGAACAGGAGACAGGCATGTGCAGCGTGCCAGAAAGATGGACAGAGGAAGTGTAGCAGGAGGGGGGGAAATGACAAATAAATACTGTGTGTGAGTGCATTTCTTTTAACCACTTTTTTAGAATCCCCTGCTCCCTTGCTGTATGATGAACGGTAGGCAGGGGACCTGAAGGTTGCACTTTGCCTTGGACGACTCTCTGTCATGCTGTCCTATTTTTAATTTCATGGCATTTCTGTTCGAGTTGCCTCAGGCTGGAGCCATACATGGGCATTATACAACAGTCTCAGTGTGCCATTTCTTTGAATTATATTTGTCTTGTAGTGGCATTCACATTTCACTGTGAAATTAACTGCGTTTCCATGACTGCACCCGTAGCCTACATAATGGCATGCATTACCGTTCTCCACCATCTGACTACATCGTCATGAACTACAAGCGGATGGGAGAAAAATAAAAACAATACCCCAAACAGTGCCTTTCCTCTTGATTGTTTTTTTTTTTTTTTTTTTGTATTTTATTTTTCCTTTTGCTCAAAGGTTACAATCAGCCGAGGAAAAAATTGAAGGGAATACTGTGAAATGCGTTACGCTATAAAGAAATGACAGAAGAAAATAACCCCATCTGAATAAACAGTAAATATTCTGATTTCAGATGTTATTGGATTCTGAATTTGAATGTAACACCTTTTGTGTGCTCTGTTTCTGTGCTTATGCCGCCTGCGTTTGGGGTAGATTTACAGTGATATTTATTGTTATGTTTATTTTTTCTATATTTGTGCTTTGCAGCGACCATGGGCAACCACCTCCTGACAAACCCAGTGTTACAGACCCGCTCTGGTACCTCTCCCTACAACACTCTGCTTGCTGAAAGCTTCACCCCTCCCTCACCTGGAGTCTTCAACTCTACAGGTTAGCTCCTCACAAAAACCTCAGTCTGTGTGGACTATCTTGTCAGCGCAATATGAGCTCAACTCGCCATCCTTCTTGCTGTCAGTAGTTTGACATAAAAGATGCGCACCCGTTGGTGTTGAGGGTTTGCAAGTGTGTGTTTGTGTGAGAGACTTCTCCTCGTATGTGTGTGTGCTTTCTCTTTCCCCAGACTATGTAGCTGTCAGACGGATTCACTAGGCTGAGCAGAACAGAGCCAAACAGTGCCTACAGCCTAACCAGCCATCTGGTCAGATCTTGAATCTTCATGAGAACAGCCACAATTTGATTAGAAGTTTAGCTACAGCTGTGATTGCCAGCTTCCTTGAGGAAGATTTTCCTGTTTTTTAAAAACACAGCAAAAATAGTTGGCCGAAACCATGACGTCCGTAGAAAGGATCAGAGTCAATGTGTTCTGGGGTGGTGACGGTCCATCTGGATGATGGTCTGTCATATGTGTGCTCATTGTGGAAGCTGCACCTTTTGGATGCCACTTGCTGCAGATTTAGTCAAATATGCAGATATTTACAATGTTAAACTGCTGCTGGTTAATGGTTTGCTTTCAGTGGTTTGAGACTTCGATGAAAGTTGGAAGAGTTTGAAGCTGCTAAATATTTGATGGCTTCTCTGTACAATGTATCAAGCTTTATGGCCAAAGGCCTAGCAGCCGAGTCATTTTTAGAAGAGAGTAGTATAGGATGGACTGAACACTTCATTAGAATGTTTAATTACCCACACCGCCACCAAAGACGGACGGTGATTAAAGTCAAACTATGCATTAAAATTTAAGTATTAACAGACTTCACTCTTTCCATGTAAGTGGGACTTTTTCTTTGCTGTTAAGAAACCTCAATAAAAACTGAATGTTTTTTTTCCTCCATGTGTTTTTTTTTTCTTTGTTTTTTTTTTTTTTGCTGGTGTATCATAAACCAATGTAGATTACTCTTACAGTTGTAAATTGGTATTCTAAATATCTGGAGGTTAAGAGCGTTACAGAGGATGTGTTGGATTGGTCAAAACACCTGCTATAGGGATCCCTGTTGTAGTCTGAAGCATGTAAAGCTAACGTTGGTTATGAGGTATATATGTGATACTACAGCCATGTTGTTGCCCCTAAGAAGAGGGGTGATAATATTGGAAAATGAATTAGGACTGTAACAATTAATCAGATTAATCGTGATTATTGGATTACTGAAATAATCGTTAACTAATTTAGTAGTCGATTAGTCGTTAACTGGAGTACAGAGACTCTAAAACATACCTTTAGATGACAGAACGACCCACTTAGAGCAGTTATTATACCACAATTGTAAAAAAATATGTACAAACATTTTGCATTCAAGATAAAAAAATAATAAAATATTCGTCTGTCAATATGCTCTATCAAGAACTCATCATTGGGAAGTCGAGTTTCACCTGGTTTAATTTATAATGTTATTTATAACATATATTATGTTTAATAATAGATCAAGTGGAAGGCAAATGGATTATTTGTGGTTTGTATTTATGGATAGAAAAATAGAGTGGGCTTATTAGAAATATACACTTTTCTCATTTAGTTTGCAAAAAACTTCCCTTCTACTTACTAACAATGTCCTGCTCTTTGTTAGTACAACACAGCAAATCACAATAATTACTCTGAGGGCACTGTATCTCAATTTCCACATAATTCTAATGTAATCTTACTTTAGCAGAATTTCTGGAATGTCTGTGAAGTTTAGATGATTTTCTTTGGAGAAGCGTTTTCTCACAGTACTTTTTCTTACAATCTGTCACTCAGCTCTCTAGCTGCATCTCTCTCTTGGTTCAAGTTATTGCGAGGAGAGTTGCAGGGCTGGGGTCATTTATTTTGTGCTGAAAAACATAAGCACTTGGAAAGAGTTGAAAATGGAGCTCTTATTGTTTTATTTACTCCTCTTTTTATTATCAACTAAGTGGAGCTCTTCTCACTGTTAAGTTAGGAGTCTAAATATGCACAAGACTGTTCAAACACAGCCGTAAGAGTCAGTAGAAGTCAAGTTTAATTATTCGCCCTCCAAGTCAGTGGAAAATATTGGTGTTCTGCTTGCTTTTAAACTTGAAAAACACGTTAAAAGAGGTAACACTAAAGACATGATGCGCCATGATGATGAAGGATGTTTGCAGAAGCCGGAGAGATTTAGTCAAATTTAATCCCTCGTGTATTTTCCACAACTAATCTCATCTAACACAAATATGTGAAAGCAGCATAGCAGGTGTTATTGCATGTGTTAAGCGTTGGTTGCACGTTGAAATATTAAGACAAAGAATTGAACAGACTGTTGTACTCTCATGCCATGATTTTTTAAATCTAAAACTAGATTTGTTTTTCTCCCTGTGTTCCTGTCGCTCATTCTGTCTCTTTATTCAACATGCTTTTCTTTGGAATCTGCAGGAACCTTCCGTGACCCAAGTAAGTATAATTAACATGTCTCAGTTTTATTTATTTTTCATTTATACATATGAAGTCTCAGCATATAAAAATAATGCAAAATCTGTTTTGTCTGTTTTGGATGCAGAGAGTACACTTTCTAAGCCCCGAGACCCCTGTGGAATGGAGACCCTTCCCTTAAACGGCAACTTCAACAACAGCTACTCCATACGAAGTGGCCCGTCAGGTGGGGGCGGCGGCGGCAGCTGTGATTTTCTAGCCGGAGGAGGGGGAGAAACTCCCCCACCTATCTTCAACCCGCGAAGTTCAGAAACGCTGGGAGGTGGAGGCACACGGCGAAACCTCACGGATGCTGCAGCCTTTGAGAAAATGATCATTTCTGAGCTTGTCCATAACAACCTGAGAGGAGGTGTAGGCGGAGGGCCTGCAGGGGGTGGAACTGATGTAGGGGACAGAACGTATGCCAGTCTGGTGAGGGGACATCCTCACTGTGGAGGGGGCCGTGCAACAACTTCAGGTGGACCAGAACCTTCAATCAGCATGGATGAGGACGATGAGTTTCTCAGTGATGGACGGCAAAGAACACCTCAGGATGTAGAACTCCTGTATAAAGCTCTAGAAGAACCCCTACTGTTGCAGCGGGCCCAGTCGGTCCTCTATCAGAGTGATCCAGAGGAGTCGGAGAGCTACACAGCTGACCTTACAGAGAGCCTTGGCAACAGCGGTCAGAGCGGTGGTGGGCAGGGAGACAACAGAGCGCCGGACTCACCAGCCCATGACTCCCTGTACACTAGCATCACCAACCTGCGAGACTCTCCCTATCCAGACAGCAGCCCTGAGCCGCTTGAGGTTGTGCCCCGTTCAGCTCAGCCCCCTGAAGAGCTGTACTACAGCTCTGGGAGGCCTGCCCTTGGTTCTCGTGGGGCTCCCATGCAGACCTTCTACCAGGCTCCACCTCAAAGACCCAGCGGGGAGGGACAGCAGGCTCAAGAGCCTGCCCACACTGAGGGAGACGGACAGATGCAACTGGTCACCAGCCTGTGACTGGAGCCTGGAGGAGGGAGCTGGAAACTTTTGTGATAGCCAGAGCCTCCTTTAAGTGGTCTCTTTCTCATGTATCTCCACTATCTGCTTATTTGGTTGCCTTTATTTCTCTTGACTTTTATTTAACTTGCATATTTAGAAAACTGACCGACCTTCTGGGGGAGGCACAGCTAACTCTGCTGATGAAGCCTTTATCATCATCAACTCTCCCTAATCGTCTGGATATGAGTGATGGGTGTTTTTCATCAGAGCGTTTGAAACCTCTGTGGCCAAGTCCAGCACTCTGAATGTACCCCCTCCCCCACTTTACCCTTGGATATTTCAGAACTTTGCTTTTTTTATGTGTTCAGATCTGCCTCAGGAGATGAGGATGTTGTTTTATATTTTGTCTCATTTCCCTTTTCTTACCATCTTTTGATCTTTTTTTAAAAGTCATCATTTGATAGGGGTAGTTAGCTGTGCAGACAGGGAATATTGTACACTATTATTACCTGAAATGTCTCACAGAAAGCTCTTCATCGTTGCCAAAAATATCTTTTATTGAGCCAGAACAGAAACTAGAACATTCACAAGCCACACAAACACACACACACACATCCTGAAGTGCTTGTTTCTGAACATCAAAAGCAAAGACAGCACTCCGTTTAAGTAAACGGGAGCAAAAGGTTTTGTTCCAAGCAGGCAGAGGAAGCCGATTCAGTGTAGTTGCCTTCATTTAGTCTTGCTTTGAATCAGAAGTGTACAGAAGTGGAGTACAGGTGGAGACAGAGACTCAGGAGGTGCTGTATCATCATCCATCCAGAGCTGGAGAGCCTGCACCCATAATACTGGGATATGCTCTCTGCTGCTCTCTGTGTTTGCTTTAGGCCTTTGAAATGTTAAATGACTGCCTTGCTGTTGTTTAAAGAGAGTATTCAGTTTCTAAATCCCGGGGCTGCAAATGCACATTGTTGCCCTAATCCCCTTGTACTTCGCTGTTAGAGCCTAGAGTAAAAACGGACTACTTGTGTGTTTTTGTGGCAAACAGGACTGCAGATGTCACAGACGCACTGAACGACAGTTGGTATAACCCTGTACATAGCGAACCACACATGAATCTACTTTATTCCTATTATGTAAATACAGACACCAGATGATTAAAAGCAACAAAAGGTAATAAATACTATGAAAATGACTTCTTGTACTACAACAAATTGTTGAAGGAAAAGAATAAAAATGCTTTGTGACCTGGATGAAACACTCTATCTCTCTACCCCAGACCATAATCTCTCACTCTTATTCATTTTTTGCCGTGAAACTTCTTATCTATCCAAAGAAGAGAGAAAGTCAGACAAAGAAAAGGGGGCAAGAGTCATTAAGATGTAAGGAAATATTTAGTGATTTAAAAGGGAAAAAAAGCAATGAAAAAGTTCTGGCATAATTCTAAACGTGATAACATCCAACACATCAAGTTTTAACCGTTAACATTACACGGGTTGAATTTCCAAAGCCAGTTGGGAGATAGGGCTGCGGGGCAAGCGAGATAGATGTTGTCAAATGTCATTCTGTTCCTCATGAGCACGTTGAAGTACTCTGTGGTGAGCAACGGCATCCATGACGTGATTCGGTTTTGCTTTTGTATTATTTGGAAAATTTTAATCAGATACAATACCTTTAACATGGGTTTTAGCATGTAAAATAATGGCATTTGTTTTGCTGTCAGAGAATATTGCATTTTGCTGTTTCTTAAAGATAGTTTCAGCATTACTCCAAAGCCTTATGTGACAACTCATTATTTTCCAGTGTGCATGTGACTGTGTGCATGTAAGTGTGAATGTAACTGTATGCGTTGTGTCTGATTATGTTTTAAGCGTGAGACTTTATTGTGCACACTGCTTTAACAAGCTATTTTCTGCTGACATGAAATGAATGCAAATCAAACAAAGAGAGATGCTCATCTCTGAAAGTCACCATTAGCTCCCTGCCTCAAACAGATATAGGCTTTTCAGAGACGGTCATGAGTATGTAGAACAGAAAGAATCAGAGTGCCTTGAGAGAACAGACGTAACACTAGTAGATGAATGTGAAAAGCCGCTTGACTGATCGGAAAGAATGTGTTTCCAATATGTCACCCAGTAAAAACAAAATTAGCCATCAAAGGAAAAATGCTCCAAAGGGTTTCTACTAATGGTTAAAATCCATTTGACTTTTCAAGAATGTTTGCCTTCTGTTATCCTTTTTTTTTTTTTCAGAAAATGTTGTGGTTTAATATTCTATTTGCCATATACCTATGATTTTTTAAGTATAAACTTCTAAACCTACAAGAAGTAAAAGAGAATATGATGTGGTAACGCAGTGTGAACAGAAGAAAGATGCATCTATCCAAGTGTGACATTTGGCTGGAGCCTTAGTGTACCATTTCTAAAGGGAAACCTTTAGCTGTGGCATCCGAGGCTGACAGAGAGAGAGGGTTAACGACAGATAAAGACAAGGGATTACAAGGATTTGCTACCATTTCATCAGGTTATTCTAATTACTCACTTAAGTTATATTGTATTGGCTGTGAAGGAAAAAGGTTGAAAAATAAGGCATCAGTATCATCACTTGAGCTGTAGGGGGAAAGTGTGCAGTGCTCTTTTGATTAAACATGACCTGGATTTGCAACTAAACTTGTGAACTCTCAGTGATTACAGGTATGAAATAATCACATCTACTGATTGACACCTGAAGTTAAGACATGAGAAAAAGAATTCATTATTACTAATTCCCCATCTATCTATCTATCCATCCATCCATCCATCCATCTATCTATCTATCTATCTATCTATCTATCTATCTATCTATCTATCTATCTATCTGTCTGTCTGTCTGTCTGTCTGTCTGTCTGTCTGTCTGTCTGTCTGTCTGTCTGTCCATCCATCCTTTTTCTAAATTTAAGCCAAGGGTAGAAGAGCATATGAGCATATACAACCTTTGTAAGTTAAAATTCCTGTTTCTAAGAGGCATTAAGGAGTTTTCTAATAATACTGCCACCTGTTGCCAAAACACAGAACTACAGCAAAATTCTGCTCATTCTCGTTGCCTGCGCTTGTACTTTAGTTTTTTTTTTATTGTTGCCATTGGTGTCTGAGTTGAGCTTGATGCCGGTCGCTACTGAGTATCCACAAAATCAATCTTGAATATAAAGTTTCGACCGTAAGGTGGGTTGGACACATTAAATGCGGATGTGCTGGACGTCACATCCGCCGAGAAGTGCGGTAACTTCTGACTTGAAGTTAATCAATGCAAAAAGGCTGCAGGCTTATAGATGGAACAGAGCTGAAGTGGTGAGGTGTCAGTCTGCTCATCAAATGACGTTTTAGTGGTTCAAATAAAAAAGTTATTTTAGATGTATTTTCAGTGAAAACGTACATGTCTCTTTAAAGCTTACTTTCTTACTTTCTGTGTTTAAACTACTTTTAAATAAAATAAATAAATAAAACATGAAATAAAACTGAATAAACATCTACTTCAGTGTGCAAGTACAATAATATATGAAAAAATTTAAATTGAACGGTCATCATATAAAAAAATCCCCAGATGATTTGCAATCTTGTGTAAATGATGAAAACTGAAAACCTCTATCTATATCTTTCATTTGCGGCATTTGATGCTGATCTCAGCTACAGTGTGACAGCAGAAAAAGCCTGTTTTGATTCCCCTTCACTCACCTGGAACCAAGGAATTGTATCACCTTGGGCCTCCTTATGTTAATTCTTGCTGCTCCTCTTTTTTTCCTTTGTAACTCATCTGCATTTTAATATCAATCTCAATAGGCCACATTAGGGCAGCAGTTCTTTGTAAGTGTTAATTTGTTTTGTTGAAAGCTTTGTTTATCCCAGATTAATATATTTCAATAAACAGTGGAGGGCTGAGCTCTGGTAAATGATAGTGATTATGCTGCAGAAGGTGTGCAGCCCACGCTGTCGGACAGAGTCTCGTAGAGTCTCGCGCAATGGGAGTTACGCCGCTGTTCATAGCCCTCCAAATCTCTGATTACAATAATAACTCTGTAGGTGCTAATTTACCACAGAGAATTCCGCTGCTCTCCATCCTTTTGTTTTTGGTCTTTGTTTGCAGATGTCTAATGTGATGTTAGTGTCAAAGTTAACGTGTGTGCTTTAATAGTTAAAACAGTAGGATCCTGAGCTATTGACACAGCAATTTAAACACTAACAGCTGTGGGAGTGATTTGTCTTTAATTAGATTGGGGTCACACCAGGGTTATACTGCGTGCACACACAGATGACCCTTTCTACCCCAGAGATTGTTGTATACGACAAATTTAATCTGCAGCAAAAGGTTTTTTCCTGTGAATAAATCAGAAATCAAACATGAAAAACATCAACAATGGTGCTACAAAATAAATTAAGTATAAAAGCAAAGTTTACAAGGTGGTATTTTGACAGCAATGCTGCCATATATCTAATGAAAGTGGGTTAAAACAAGATTCAAGTCATATTAGATTTCCATTTCCATTTGGTTGTAGCAGTGTAGATATATTCATATAAATGCCTGTCCTTGGCAGTTGTGCCAAAAAAAAGCCCAGTAGATTAAAAGACACCTCAAGACTTGAAAATATTGTGAAAATTTCAGAGGAGTCATGAAGACCTAAAAAACAAGCACCATATCCAGGCACTTAAATGTGCTCTGAGAAAACAACATTCAGACTGTGGTTTTCCATACCCACTCATTACAAAATTTGTAATGCAACAGAGGTAAAATTTTGCAAAGATACAAAGGAGGGCTTAATAACAGCAATTTTGGTGCTGGGGTTCTGTAAGCTCTTGCGGAAAAACAATGTGCAGCAAATGTGGGCAGAGTCACAGAACACTTGAGTGTGAGTAGCACTTCTTTAATACAATATATTTTTTTCTAATGTAAATTTTTTATAAATTTAATTGACTTTTTGAATAATTGCACATGGAACAGACCTCACCTCGTTTTCCTCTTCTTTGGGGCATTGCATATCAGTTGTTACTTTGTGAGCAGGTCTGTCTGGATGGCTTAAATTGTCAAAGTGTAAAGTGAGGCTCTACAATGAATAGCTGAAACTGGAGGTCACTTTAAAGATTTATTGGAGGTACTGCAAGTCAAAAATCTATTTAAAAAAAGCATAATTACCAGGGCGAGCAGCAAGAGGAAACTATCATGGGACAAGCCTGCAAAATGACGTTAGCTGAGCATGTGGCAAAGATCGGCGTGTGGGACGACCAACAGATAAGAGCATCTCCAAGAAACTTGAAGCCAAAAGAACATCATCCACTATACTTTCAAGCACTTTGTACTTGAGAAGTAAAAAATTATCTTAATTAAGTAGTGAAATTTGTAGAAACATACCGTACAAAGAAAATTTTAAATGATGTACAGGTTCCGATACTCAGCACGATCAAATTAAAACTGAATAAGTCACATTATTATAAAATAACACATTTGGACAGAAGAAACACAACTTTCGAAATGTCTGTTTGTTTTTTTAGAACATAAAGCATTTAAAATCATTACCTACAGTAGGTAATAAAAATGTTAGATCAGTGCAGTGATCTATTTTTAGTAACAATATTTAGATCCCTTGACTTCCAAATGGCACAACACATTCAGCAGATAGAATATTATATTACTCTATTCCACTGGACGCTGATGTGCGTTATGGGTCTGCTGCATTTTTGGTTAAAACATATTGGTTTGTCATTCTTTGAAGTTGCTTTAGGTAGGTGGAGGAGCCAAAATTGTACTTGAGTAGTTTTTCTTCAAAACAGTAATAGTCAAATAGAAATAAAATGATTGAGGCAGTAAAGGTGTCATTGAAGTACATTTAAAAAAAAAATAAAATAAAGGCCAAACTGAATTTTAATTAGCGAAAGTAACTATCAGTCAATCAAAGTTTATTTGTATAGCCCTTTACAACAACACCAGGAAAACCTAAGAGCTTCACAGAAAGATAAAAACATTGTAAAAACAAAAATCCTAAGCATAAATAAGTGTGTACTTAGTATTAAAAGTCAGTTTGAAAGAATGATTCTTTAATCTAGATTTAAAAAAGGGCAGATCTGTAAGAACACGCAGGCTGTTCCACAGTCTAGGTGCGGTAACCACAAAGGAACGCTCACCCCACTGTTTATACCGGGACCTGTGCACGTCCAGAACCATTTGATCGTTGGTAGGTACTACTACAGTATCCACCTAAGTTTTGCTGCTGGTTTCCCCACAACATGAAAAACAATAGAAGACCATATTTGGTGTTATTAACAAAAACTTTATGCTCACAAATAACGTCCAATGTTTCTTGGATGGTCTGGCAGGTTACGCTGCCTGAGAGCTTTGGCTTGATGGATTTTCTAAAGCCATGATGTGGGTTATAACCTTGGGTAAAATATGTTTCTGAAAGAGATCATGCCTAAATGTACCAGGATAAATTTGCTTTTTTTTTCTTATTTCATTTTATCCACATTTTTTTAAACCTTCCCATTCAAGTCAGGATTTCCTAATACTCTGTGACATGAGAAGAAAATTTTTTGATCTGCTATGAAAAAAATGGAAAGGCTAAAAGTGACTTATTCAAACTTATGAAGGTTTTCAAAACAGTCTCTAAATATATTATATTTGGTCTTTAATCTGTTTTTCCACCTCAATTAATTGAGAATATTATGTCAAAATTCCAGATTAATTGCACGAATTAATATTAAATAGACAGCATTTGGTTCATTAGATGACAGCTTTAAAATATTTAGAAAACAAATCCACTGCCATATGATAAAATACAATTCAGAAGGATATTTATGTTGGAAGATTTTTCTAAGTTAAAAAAAAATAATCAATGAGGGTTTTGTTAGTGATTTCTGGCTATACCTCAACAGTAATATTAACATGATTACTATAAATAGATTTTGATTTTCAAAGGAATTTTGATTTTTTGATGTAGAAAGTGTTTGAAACTGTGCAGGAAGGCTTATGAATTAGTTTATGAGCCCATTGTTTTAGGCAAGGATCAAAATTAGACAGATTTATATAGAAAATATATTTCATCAAATAGGCAAACTAGTTTTATAAAGTGAACGAGGGGAGTTTATAGGTCTATTGTTTATAATTTCAAATCTATAGCCATAGAGGAGCAGCATAGGGCATATAGAGTTATCATTTGGTTAAATTTGGTTCACAGGTAAAGTCTTTAAAAAAGCTTTTTTTAAGCAGTGACATTGATTTTTCTTTAATTTAATTTCCACTTCAGTCCTCAAAGCTTACTTGTCTCATTGGAATATTTTCCTATTTTGCCAAGCTATTAATCACTCATTTGACTCTTTTTTGAGTAACAGCCCTTTTGAAATATTTTTTTCCTGGTGTGAAAAATGTTTTTCACGGCTGCCAAATTCTTATCTTTGGCATTTTATTTTAATTGAGGACTAAAGTTGGTGTTATGAAAAGCTGCTTTTAAATAGTCAGTTATTCAAACTAAAAGTGGCTCTTTGCTTTTTTATGTGTAGACCACAGATGGGGACTCAAATCTGCCACTTAGGCTCAAGCAGCTCTAAAGTCACAAAAACAAAGATTTAAGGCTTAATTTGTTCTCCTAGGTATTGATTGCAACTTGACATCTGCGACTCAAGTCTCATGAATCTATACCTTGT